GCAGCATGGTGAATGGTGATGCCAAGTTCAGGCTGAAGAGATCGAACCGTGCGCGTTTAGGCGGCGACATATCCACATCCTGGGCGACATCTGTGGCCGATTGGCTGCCGGATAGAGGCGGCGGCGTGCGCTCACGTTTACGTCCACGTCCAAAGAACGAGAATGAGAACGAAGAACTATTGGGAATCTCGGAGCCCACGGTTGCATTCATGCTCGTGTTGGTGCAGTTGGAAGTGTCCAGGTCAGTGTTAACGCATCTATAGGTGCCCAGTTTGCCGGGCGTTAGAGAAGCCGTTGGGCGTATGCTGCGCCGGCCGCTTATCTGGGTAAAGCTACGCGCAGGTGTAATTGCTGGAGAGCTGGACGACTGTGTGGCCAGTTCCACTTCGGTGGACTGCTTGCTGCTGCTACGAAAACCAAAGAGATTGCGTCCAGGCGTAGAAGTGGCTGTGGGCTGTACACTAGCCACAGCCCGTACAGGCGACGCATCCACTGTGAGCGTCTCCATTTCAACATCTTCTGCCACTTCCAATTTTTCCTTCGCCTTCTCCGCTTCTTGCGATTGTTCTTTAGCTTTTTCCACGTCTTCCGATTTAGCTTTTTCCGCTTCATCTGATTGCTCCTTAGTTTTTTCCGCAACTTCAAATTTTTCCTTACTCTTTTCCGCTACTTCTGATTTGTCCTTAGCCTTTTCCGCCTGCTTTTTCGAAACTGGTGACGGACTCTCCTTTGGCTTTATGGGCGACTTATCCAGGCTGCTCGAAGACCCGGCCAACCTGCGCGACGACTTGCGCTCCGCAGTCGGAGTGTTGAACACTTCAGTGATTAGACAATCGGTTTCCATATCAATCATTGCGTCAGTAACAGCTTCAACAAATTTAGGGCCGGCATCTGGTGTTGCTGTTATTGGCTTTGCAGTGCTTTTGATATCATTTGTTTCGTCTTTAGCCTCCGCTGGGGCGGAATCCTTTCTCTCAGACACTTTCTCCTTGATTTTCTGTTGCTCCTTGACAGAGGTGCCGCTTGAGCTGCCGTTGTGTGTCGACTTTTGACTGCCATTTATGGATTTGGAAGTGCTACTTTGGCTCTTCTCGCTCCTCGTGGAAGAGGACGACATAGAAGACGATGATGATGTCGAAGCAATAGATGAATTACTGCTCGATCGTTGCGGTATACCACTCGTCTTCTTGATAGCTACAAATGGACCAGACATGACATTCGATTCAGGTTTCTTGGTCGCATTACTATTCTGTGGACTTTTCGAGCGTCCATTGCTAGCGGCTGCTTGCTGCTGTAGACGGGACACTGTGGTGCCACTAGCGCCTGATCCGGTCAAAGACATCGGCATCCGCCTTCCGGTTGCAGCAGTGCCGCCACCACCACCCCCGCCTCCAGCAGTATTCGGTTGTGCCATCTTGCTGAGCATTAGATCGTCGTTTAGTGTATTCGTGTTGCACGATAATTAATTCTGAAAAACGAAAGAAAATGAAATATGCATAAGTAAACTGTATTCTACAAAAAAAATAAATAAATATATTCTTAAAAAACTGATTGTTCCAAAAAACACAATGATGTTTGTTTTCTAGACGGAACTCAGTGTCAAATTGATTTCGAATTATGCCTTCCTGCATTTCCTTTCCCCTGGTAATTCAAGCGCATAGCTGTCGAAAAACGTCTAAACACGCTCCATCACTTAGAAATGTACAAATCGCGAAGAGTTGTCTACATCGCGCCCAACAACGGTACTTAACATTCCTGGCCAGAACCGGCTTTGCGCCGACTTATACCCCACTTACCACAGTTCCGAGAATTGTTTTCTTATTAATATTTATTAATCTTTTATTTTTATTTTGCTTTGCAATTTTCAATCACAGTTGCAGCTTAGTATTTCTCAATAGAGATTTTCACATTAGATTTCAGACGCTAGGCGTTAGTGCAATTTTTTTTTTTTTCGCAAACGTGTTGACAGTTTCAACTTGACAATTTAGAATGCGTAGCAAAAAAAGTTGCAAACCGTTTAAGTAGACGAGAAAACGATATACAGGTAGACAAGGATTTATCGAAAGTGACAGCTGGAGCAAGGGCAATAGCAGCAGGGTTACCTGCAAGCTGGCATCTGCTAGGTATGTAAATCATTTTATGGCCAACATCTGTGCGTGGCAATATAGTAAATAGGATACAGGGATTGCCAAAATCCTAGCAAAACATATATACATATAATTACGTCGTTACACTCGAGTAACTGTTATACGAAACAATCATTGGGATGGTGCCCTAACAAGAGACATCGTTCCACTTTAATAACTCTTACCCCTTACCTTACACAAATTCTTTATTGGCTTCCGGTAAATATGCAGTTAAAAGCGGCACCAAAAAATAGCTGACAAGCATACAGTCGACAATCGATGTAGAGAACCACCAGCTAAAGAGTTGATGATTTTTTTTAACATTTTATGAAAATAAACAAAGCTTATTTTTATTATAAATATTAAGTTTAACTTAACCAGTACCTACTGTAAAGTGCTGCATAAAAAGCCTGCAAGCATTGTAAACATAGACATACATACATATGTAAGCGCAACAGCCGGTAAGAGGGCGAAAAATGCATGTAAAAGAAAAAGACTAACGAGGAATAAGAACGCAGAAAATACCTAATAGAAAATTTGCCGTACGATGCGTATTGCACACAATTCTGCGATGCCTCAAGCAATGAAAAAAATAAGCAAAGAGTACAAACAAGTTTAATGCAACAAGAGAAAGAAAGAGTCAGGGATAGTTGTTTGGCAAAGGCAATAAACATAAAGTATGTTGCACTTTTCTTTTAGAAAGTGCAAGAGGCAACAACGCGAAAAATAAATGCACATAGAGGCAGACAGAAAATAAAAGCACATACATACATATATACGAACATACAGGCATACAGTGCAGCAAGCGAAATGCAAAGTCTGACAATCAAAACACAAACACATACACAGAAACGTCAAACTCACATCTGTACATGCGTGCATACATACATATGTATGTATGTATGAAATTATGCGACAAGCCCTCGCGCCATCATTGCAATTCTTTTTTTTTTTTTTTTTTTTAGTGTAGCAGAGTTTAATAAACTCAACGAGGAGCAACATACAAAGCAAAGTATGCATCAAAATGAGCATAAACATAGGGTGTCTATGTATGAATGTAAATTTGAGTACACATTTCATTTTTATTTTGAGAACGAATATATATTTGTTTACGTTCATTGGACATTGCATGTGGTAAAATATGTGCTATGTTTATATAGTTTAAGTGCTTGGGTATTGAATGTCAAACTTGCAACAAAGACACACATAATACTGCAATCAGGCATATACACACATACAAACTAAAAAGGCGGGTTACAGTACGCGACCAAATATTAGCCACTTTCTGTTCCAGCTTACATAAAATCGGGGTGAATCACTCAAACGATAATTTTAATATATATTTCTTATATGTATATAGATAAGTTATGAATTTGAGTCCGATAATTCTGAATACTGCTAATATGTTTAATAAACTGTCGTTGGCTTAATGTTTTGCCACCACTGTACTATACAGGCTCAATTGACGGGGTTTGTTTTAAAAATGGCGGAAGCTGCAGCGAATGATAAAAAATAATACATACACACATATATATGTTATGTGCATATTCACGAAACATATACATATGTACACATATGTACACTTTTATATTTACTGCAATTTTGGATTACTAGTTTTTGTATTTCACATTTTCAGCAAATTTCACTGAACAAATCAAGCCCGGCAACCGTGCATATTGTGTCTATTCCAGACTCGAATCCTACCGCAACACAATATATAAATTTGGCAACTACACTTTTGTTTTTACACAGATAAATGTAGAGACGTATATTTAGTTATATAAAGAAAATAAAACAAACCTTTTGCTTTATATAACACAGATAAAAGTTCTCAAATATTAAACCTTTAAATTTGTAGACGATGTTCGCGGAGCCAAGGTGATGCCGACGCTAGTGAGAAATTAAAAAACTAACGCGCGATGACAAGCAGTGTGACCGGACTACGAAAAGAAACAATAATTTTTCCAATTAAAATACTAAAATTTAATGGGTTGGTTTATTTCCTTCAGTTGTTTTATTGCTATGATGATTAAATACTTTCGATATGTAATTTTTCATACATATACAAAAAAAGTACATTAGAATTTATATAAATTTTTAACATAGATACTAAAGTTTTTTTTTTCCTAATTTCACATATACATTTTAAATACTAGTCTTTGAGATCGATTCGGTAATGATATTTTATTAAAATTTGTAATTAGCAACTACCATAGCCATAGTTTATTATTTTTTTGTTCATCTGGCAGTGTTTATTTCGTAGTAATATCATTAGGCTCTCATTTTAAGTATCCCTCATTTGGCTGAAATGTAAAAAAAAAAAAAAAAACATACCTAGTTCGAGAATAAGAAATTTGAGTCAAGGCTCGAGGGAAAGCCGTCACAATTGCGGGAGGAAATTGCAAACACGAGTCACTCAAGAAGCCATTAAAAATTATATGTATGTATGTACATTCATATATTAAAAAAACGTTCTTTTGTATATGCTCATTTGACAAAAACAAAAAACTGTTAACTCCGCTGTTTAAATTTGAAAATAATTGAAATTCTCGCCATTGAATTTGCTTCAAAAATATGCAGGCCAATTTTGAAATTACTTCTTTGCCGGTTTTATATATTTTTTTGTTTCTTTATTTTACATTTTACATACATAATTCACACATTGTAATTATGAAATATTTTCGCATTTACAATCACTTAAAAACTAAATTTGTTTATGCATTTATTTTCGGCCTGTTGTTTTAATTTGAATTTCTTATCATTAGCTGTTGACATAATATTCAACGCTTTGAATTACAAATTTTCACAACAATTAGATTTTGCTTTGTCACTTTCGATTGATTTTTTACTTTTTTTATTTTATTCAATTGTAGATGTTTAAACTTTATTTTTTTGTTTTGTATTTTGTTGTTTTGTTTTTGTTTCCTTTTCTTGTATACGCCTATATCTGACTTAAATTACAAATCATTAAATTATTTTAACATGTACTTAGATTGGATTAGATTGTTACAGCTACCCGCCCGTCGCCCAGAGCTTCAGAGCGCTGCCGCTGCCGCTGACGCTGCGTGCGATTCAACTTTTAGTTCAACGCTTTGCTTCGACCAGCTCGCACACACAAACATCTGCAGAACATACGGCGAATGATGATACAAATTGCAATGTTAATTTTCGAAACGCTTCTGCTTTTAACTTAACGTAATGCAGCTCACTATGCGAACTAAACTGAGCACAATGCAGTGTGTAGCTAGCTTAGGTGTAGAAACGATAGGAATTGAAACATTAGGGTAAATGTCAAGCGTCTCCTCGATAACAGATTTTAATTCCCGGTCATTGTGGTGATGTTGCTGCTGCTTGTGTCGTTATTGTTGTTGTTGTCATCAGTACTAATAGTTTCAGACTCGAACACGATATTGGCCTGTTGTAAATTTCGCGGACGTTGATGCGGATGCGGTCGCTGCTGGCTGCCCGAATATTGCAGACGGCGTCGAAGCAGGCGTCATGTCTCTGCTCATTGGGTTTGATATTGTGGCATCGCAGCGCTGTACATCATTTGTGGGGCAAGCGAACCGTTCGCGGCAGCAGCCGCACTAGCAGCGGCACTCACTCCTGGCACCACAGTGGCGCCAGGCACACCCCATGCCATATTTGGCGGCATCACACGGTACCCGGCCGCTGGAAAGGACAACGCACAACATATTACAAATCATATATATAATACATCAAATATGTATGTAATTCTCTTGTTGGTTCGATACGTACGTACAGCTCCTGCCTGTTGAGCACTGGTAGTGTAGGCATAAGGATAATAACCCTGCTGCATGTACTGCGTTTGCATCTGGGCCGGATAGCTCTGCTATAAGATATGTATAAGTGAGGGAGCTAAGTTGAGTAACTAACTTCTTGTTTGCATTGCCATTGCCACTTACCGCCGGTGGGTACCAGTAGCCCATTTGTTGGTATGCTGCCGCATAAGGGTACTGTGCCTGCGCCGCCGCTGTAGCGGCTGCTATCTGTTGGGGCGTCATCATTTGGCCGGGTAACGCTGTCCCAGTGGCTGCGGCAATCTGTTGCTGTGTCATCATTTGGCCTTGCATGCCAGCTGCACCTGCGGCGGCGGCCGCATTTGCTGCCGCCACGGCGGCCACATTGGCAGAGGCAGCCGCCGCAACGGCTGCGTTAACATTATTGGCCGAGTTATCGCCACCATTTTCCTTGCCCCAGAAACATTTGACATGATTGCCGTGCACCTCGCTGTTGTGCGTATGCTCGATGGCGCGTGCCGCCGCCTCTTTTGTAACGAACTTGATGAACGCGAATCCCTTGTCTTTGAAAACACGGACATCCTGTATGGGGCCAAATTGCATGAAGTGCTTATGCATCAGCTCATCGCTGATAACATTTGGCGGGAAGCCGCCACAGTAAACGGTGGTGTTTGTGGGACTTGATTGATTGTAGACCTCCTCGAAGGTGTGTCGTTGGTTGTTCTTAATGCCATTACCAGCGCCGCCGCCGCCACCCATTCCACCCATGCCGCCACCTTGGCCACCTGACTTGGACGATTCCCGTGGCGGTGGCAATTTGCGTGTTGACCAATTCGTGCGTATATTACGTGAACCGATCCATTGGCCATTCATTGACTGAATTGCATTCTCGGCTTCGGCCTTCTTTACAAACGATACGAAGGCATAGCCCTTGGACTTCATGGTGTGTGGGTCGCGCACAATGCGACAGTTTGATATCTCGCCAAAAGGCGCGAAAGCCTCGCGCAGCGTCTCTGTCTCAATCTCTGGACTGAGATCACCAACAAATATATGATGGTGCGAGCTGATGTCTGTCTTGGGCGTGTTGCCCGGACTAGTGGCCCAGTTGACCTATGAGTAGCATATAAATGTATATCTTTACGTTATAGATTATAGAATGAATACGAACCTTGATCTCTTTGTCTAGAAAAACACGTTTGTTCATGGCCGTCAGTGCAGTGCTGGCCGCCTGGTAATTGGAATATTCGATAAAGGCATACGGATCATTGCCTGGTTCCCTTATGATTTTACAGCTTTTAACTGGTCCCATTTTGCCAAAGAGTGCAATAAGCAGATCCTCCGAAACCGAACTGTCCAGATTGCCAACGTACAACGTTTTTGGTTGTGACTCGTCCATTTTCACCCAGATGCTAGCTACCTACTGATGTATCTACTTAACTGTCTCTCTATCTATTGAAGTGCTTCTACTGCTGCTGCTCCTGCTGCTAGTGTCCAATGGATGTTGTATTAACTACTCTACAGCTACTCTCCACATTAATACAAAAACACTTATCAGGACAGCTGATGCCTGCGACTTTTAATATTTTAGTTTGATATAAAAATTCAATGCACTCACGTTTACAATCATATACAAAATGTATATTAATTTATATATGTATATACATATACATATATTATTCAATTCAAACAACTAAAACTTCAGATAATGACTAACAACGAAAACTAATTTCTATTACTCTTTCTTTTTTTCTTATTTGTTGAAATTAATTTTGAATACTTCCGATTCTGGACTATACAACTATTCTGTTTTTGTTTATTTATATATCCGTGTATATAGATCTAGATATATATTAGTAGTAAATCTTTTTGCTTAATGCTGAGGTTCGTCGTTTATTGCTTTCGCTGTTGTTGTTTCTGCTGTTGTTGTTGTCAGTAAATTTCTTTAATATATATTCTAACTATGCGCTAATGGAGTGATTTGGAATATATCGATGTGCTTGCTTGCTTTAGCTTGTTTGACTCCAGTTGTTGTCGTTCTTGTTGTCTGGTGGAACATACTCTTTGAGAGTTGTACACTAACTGAAGCTAAATTTAAATTTCTATTCAAATTTTAATTAGTATTGCTCTATACAAATAGTCATAGAAAAAATGTATATATTCTGTCAGTACTGTGGTTGATAGATTTTAATAGAATTTTATATCAACACTAACTTTCTGCTCATTTCTGGTACAAAAACGTGTGTATGTATGTATGTATTATATAAACGCTGCCTTCAGTGAAAGTTCGCCTGATTATTGGTTGGATTCGAAGTTGAAGACTGGAACCACTGTAACAAAAGCAAAAATCAAATAAAGTTAAAACATTTATATCAGCAGTAGGTAAGAATGAGAGAATTGTGAATTTCATATTGTATATTGTAGCCGGGGAGTTCTTTTTTTTTTTTTGTGATTTAATGTCCACAATCCACAATAGAACCAAGCAACACATGATCGAATTATTGCTATGGGGAATTAGGCGAGCATTTGATATGGATAATGTTGTATGAGCGCGAGTGCGAATATGAAACAAAGGCAGCGGGTAACGCAAAAGCATTGCAGACACACACAGACGCATATACACACACACGCACACACCCGCACGCAACACTCTCTCAAAAGCAGAGTGTGAAGCGACGGTCGCAACTGGCTCAGTTATTCATATTAATATCTAATACAACATTTTTTGAAATCAAGTGCATTTAGCGAATTACGTAGTATTTAATGAATAAAATAAATACAACTTTCTCGGTCATTTAAACATTTCTTTTGTTAGCTAAAATAATTATTGAGCATTAACAAAATCACTTACACACACACACGCGCGCGCGCATAGAAAAAGAGGGAGAAAGAATGAACCAAAATCAACTAGGAGATGAATGACCGTCCATAACAAAATACACAATGGAAGAGAAAATGGGAGGAAAGAAAAATTTGCCAAAACCGAAACCGGCCAACAAAAAAAAAAACGCACACGGTTGCATTTATACTATTTCTTATATTATTTGAAAACGCTTTTAATGCAGAAGAAATTAATTTCCACGGCATTTTAATTGTAATTTAAATTTGATTGCATGATCAAGAAACGAGGTAGTTCTCAAAGTCATAGTCAAAATAAAATGAAAGGCAGCGAATCCAACGAAAAACTAAAAGGCGTCGCGATTGTCTTTTTGTTTGGGTTTTGTGTTGCTCCTCACATGAATTGACACTTATTTTGCTTTTGATAAAAATGGAGTTGCAACCTATGATTTTTTTATTCCATTTCATTTCGTTTTTTTTCCGGTCAGGTAACGCGAATTCGGATTTTCGCGATGGTTATCTAGTTATATATTATTTATACATATATATATGCATATGCATGTATGTATAATATACAAGCGCATGTATGTATATGCACGTATATACATATCTTGTTCACTTTGCTGCTGCCATCTTTTATGCTAAGCGTTGTTCGATTTGCTGTTTTACCCCTCCTACCCGAAACCGATGCAGAAAGCTAGAATTATCATTAACACAACTACCACCGCTGCTGCCATCGGTGTACACTGCCCATTGTTCGTAGCTGGCATCACTTTCAGCTCAAAATTCCTGATTTCATTTCTAAAATTCACTATTTTATTGCACTCAGTGACGTGGCTGCGCTTGTAAATTTACCGCTTTTCACTTCACAAAACCTTTGTTAGCATATATCATTTGTCAACTTATATCAGCCGCTACCGGTTTTTATTAAATTTGATTTTCATTCGATTTGATATATTGGTTAAAAAGTTCTATGAACGCGTCGCCAAATTTTTACCTTTCGTCGTCCAAAATGCGAACTAATTAAATGAGCACTTTGTGTGCGACTGTCTGTGCTGCCAACTCAGTTCGATTGCTATGTTTCAATGGCGGCAAGCCAATCAAAAGCTGAAAAACAATATGAACAGAAGACGTACTTAAAAAAAAAAATTATTTAGTACTTTTTTGAGCAATCATACGTGCTTTACAATATAAATCAAATATGTTTCAACCAATTTTAAACAATTTTAATTAACTATTTATCGTGTGGCAACTCTGTGCGGATTGATAAACTCATGCATCACCGCTTTCTCTTTCTAACGCACGCTCAAAGGGCCAATGTAACAGCACAAAGCAGAATAGCCAAGAAGTACAACAGTAGAAAAGAAAATTTATAAAATGGTGACTAATATTTTTGTAAACAGTAAACAGTTAATTACTGTTAATACAAATGACATTAATATTAAAGATTTAAATGTTCTCATTGAGGAAGCGACAGTAAGTAAATACTATTTATCTTTAATGCATTTGAGCAAATAATAACAGCAGTTTTCGTAGCATTTGCAGCCCGAGGAATATTATCTGACATGCAATGGCAAACGTTTAAATGAAAACATAAGATTTCAACATGAAATTGGTAGCATTCATTGCATCCTCCGTCAGGTTGGAGGAAAGGGAGGCTTCGGATCTATGCTGCGAGCGATTGGCGCGCAAATCGAGAAGACTACAAATCGTGAGGCATGTCGAGATTTGAGTGGACGTCGCTTGCGCGACATTAACGAAGAGAAACGTGTCCGGGCATGGCTGGAAAAGAAAGGCGAGCGTGAACGTGAAGCTGAGGAGCGTAAGAAACGAAAAATTGAGAAACTTTTAGCAGTGCCCAAGCACGAGTTTAAAGACGACCAGTATGAGGAGGCCAGAGCTAAGTTGACCGAAAAGGTAAATGATGCATTCGAGGAGGGACTCAAACAGGCCGAGGAGGCCAAGACAGCCAATGAAGGCGACACTGATGCAACCAAAGCTGTCCCAAGTTCGTCCAATACTAGTGCAACAATTGGTACTAAACGAAAGGGCGACACAGTTACTACTGCAAAGGCGATTAAAAAGAAAAAGGCCGCGCTTTGGATTGATGACGATTTATCTGGCAGCGATTCAGACACTGACGACAGTGAAATTGAAGCTGATACAAAAAAGTCAATTCAATGTTAAAGAGTTTATTTGTAATATTAAGCACTAAATATTATACATAATTAAAATAATGACAATCGACAATTTCATTGCGAGACGAACTGGGAAGAAACCCAAGCCAGACCCCACTTTAGATTCGTTAGCATGAACTTTAAAGCTTTTGTCCATTGTTCCTCTGAGTTGAATTGGATTCTGTAAATTTCAATATATAAGTAATTTTGTCAACTGTAAATGGATATGGTTTGCTCACTTGATGGAGTAAGAATTGCCTGTTGAAGAATCAATTATTTTCCCCTTTTCCATTTTGTATGGCAGCAGAAAGTCGGTGTCGCGCTTCTCCACCTCCTGCTGGAACTGTGTCAAACAGTCGAGAAACGCCACCATTGCAGCATCAAATTTTGTATCCCAAAAAAACTTAAAGCCTCCGCTGCCATATAGAGGCAATTCCCGATTGTCGCCTAATACCTCCACATACGAGTGATTGCCAAATGGAACGACGCGATATCGTTCAAAGGTCAAGCCAATTTTACGCGCCAGAGCTGACAGCAATAGCACCGTCTGCCCCCAGGCTGCATTTATCTCTGACCAATCCACGGAGACCGATGGCAGGCGTCCCAGTCGAAAATTGTTGATTGTACCAAAATGACCGGCATGCCAGATATGAAATGTTATGTTAAAAATATTCGTGTCCCGTAGTTTGTCCAGTTGCTGCTTGGAGTAGGCTATCTGGCACTCCAGGCTGCGCTTGTCGTCTTCCGTGAGCATTAATTCCCGACGATGCTTTGTGTATTCACGCCAGTAGCTTTCCTCCTGTTCATGCAACTTTTCCTTTACCAATTCCTCTTGCTCAATGGCTTCATTCAAGATCTTTTCCTCGGCCTTTAGGTTTGCCAGCTCCTTTAGTAGCTCTTGTTCACTTTCCTTCAATTGCTGTAATTCCTTATCAAGGGCATCCACATTTGGAACTTCTTGTTGCTGTTCTAGTTCGTTGAGGTAAGTTTTGTATACATGCCATTCTTCTTCAGCAATTCGAAGCTCTCGATCCATGATCTCCAACATTGAATCGGCACACTCTTCACATAGCGGATGATCGATCTCCGAGTTCGAGGACAAGCAATCAAACAGCTCTGCTTTAAGCTTGAATGCAGAGCTCAATTTCTTATTGTCACGTCCATCAGATACCATGGTAAAACCCGTACCATTGATAGAGTCTGTTAGCCTGAATGGCGGCACAAAGTGGTCAAAGCTATGGGCATCTTGTGGATCGATAGTGTTCACATTGCCACCATAGATAGGTACTAAAATTAGATCGGCACATTTAAGCAACATAAATTAAAAATTAATTTAAGTTATTGTATTGTTGTCTTACGTGAAAGTTCAGCCATAGCATGTACGCTTATTTTCTCCAGATGCTCGTCCAGTACTATGGGCTGCAGGCACCGCTGGCAGGCGAACGAGACCGGCTGCTTTTCCGCGTCAGTCATGGTTCTGCCTTTGCTTAATACCCTTTAATTAATGCATACAATTTAATTCCTTTTTTTTTTTTGCATGAAAACGCAAAATACAAATAGTCAATCAGCTGTTCGATGTGCTGATTGTAGAGTTGCCACTCTTGCACACAGAGCTGCGGCGCAGTTACATATACGATAGCAAAAAAAAAAAAAAAAAAAAAAACAATTGTCAACTCATAACCGACCAAAACAAATGAGCACAAAGCTTGAAATAAAAAACAAAAATAAACCTGTTTGTAACCCAGAAACATTGGTCCACTGAAGCAAAGGCGCGCTAAGAACCTTGAATAGCGATTGTTGATGTTACAAATAACACGAAGTCAAAAGCAATTGATAAGTCACATTCGCAGTCGCAGTCGTAGTCGCAGTCGCCGTCGTCGTCGCTCACGAAGAGAGTTTTGTTTTGGTGAGAAAAGCACATGCGACGTAGTCATTATGGCGCCCTCACACACAATATCAATCTTCAACGCACAAACCGTTTGTTTCCATCTTTCAGTTGTCGCCAGGCAGTGCTACATAACGGAAGTATTTTTTTTTTGCCCTCGCATCTTGCTCATTAAAAACTGATCAGAATAGAATTTTCTGACATAAACTCTAGCTGCTGCAGACACATGCACATGTTTCCAGATTCAGGCAATTAATTATACTAGTAGTTACTGTGATATATTCAATTTCACATAAGAGAAACATTCACACCCTGCTCTCAAATCGTGCCATTTTCATTTAGCAAAGCGAGAGTAGCGCACGACAGCTAATACGTAATACGTAATCAGTAACGACTGCGGAGGCGTTAGTGCTGCGGAGGCGTTAGTGCTGCGGAAAGAACGAGAAAAAACGCAAGTCTCTTGAGCAATGGTTTCATATTTTGTGCCGCGCGGTCGTTTTCTGCTAAAGGCGGGAAACATTAGAAAGGCCATACAAGAGCAGCAGCAGCCAAAGCAAGTGCTGCATAACGGAAACTGGCCTGTGCTCCGGCACTTTCGACAATTGCCCGCAAATGCCGCCTCTAATGAGTCGATAATTGCCAAGCCGAAGCCACAACAAGCCAAACAACAGACGCAACTACAATTACGCCAAAATGCGCTCGCACGGTGGACAGGATTCCTATTGCGCTGGGCACCTATGGGCTTATGTGTCTTCGGTGCCATCGAATGGCAGTTGCACAAATTTCGATGCGAACGTAAGGGTACCCAGCGCACCGCTTCGGAGTTCCAGTCGCGGATCTACTGCTCACTCCCATTGCGCATTATCAGTCGCTGCTGGGGCTGGCTGGCCTCATGCTACATGCCCTATACTCTGCGCCCCTATATATACGGTTGGTACTCAAACATGTTTAATGTAAACATTGACGAGGCTTTGTATCCCGATTTTAATCACTACGCCAGTCTGGCTGAGTTTTTTACACGCCCACTCAAAGAAGGCGCGCGCATCATCGATGATAAGTCACCGCTGGTCTCTCCGGCTGACGGAAAGGTTCTGCACTTTGGCAGCGCTGCAGACTCACTAATCGAGCAGGTGAAGGGCGTCAACTACAGCATCGAAGATTTCTTGGGGCCACTGCAGACGGTCGAGCAATCGAACGAGCCAATCAGCTATGCTCAGGCCTTAAAAAAGAAGCGCGACGGCTCAACGGAACTGTATCAATGTGTTATCTACTTGGCCCCGGGAGATTATCATCGCTTTCATTCACCGGCTGCCTGGGAACCGACAGTGCGACGTCATTTCTCAGGCGAGCTCTTATCTGTCAGTCCTAAGGTAGCCAACTGGCTGCCTGGTCTATTCTGTCTGAATGAACGTGTCCTATATATGGGCAAATGGAAGCACGGTTTCTTTAGCTACACAGCCGTGGGTGCCACCAATGTGGGCTCTGTGGAGATTTATATGGATTCTGACCTAAAAACCAATCGCTGGACGGGCTTCAATGTGGGTGCTCATCCACCAAGCACATACGAATACGACGAACTCCATTTAGATGCGAAAAAGCCCGATCAGCCAGGCCAAAAGTTCTCGAAGGGTGACCTCATCGGACAGTTCAATATGGGCAGTACCATTGTGCTCCTCTTCGAGGCGCCCAAGACCTTCAAGTTCGATATTGTAGCTGGTCAACAGATAAAAGTAGGCCAATCCATTGGACACATTGCAGACCGCAAATGATTTATCACAAATATCCTAAAGAGACCAGAATTGTATAATGTGTCTGTATGCCTAAGTAGTCTATGTTACTAGACACGTCCTAATAGCATATAGTAAGACAGTTAATCGTTGAATTTTATTATGAACAATGTTCTAAACTTTTATGTAAGCATTAAGATCAAGCATTATGTACCTATTTGTATTTAGTTACTGATGATTTATATAGCTGCGCTTTTTTACGCCATATTCATAGCTAGTTAGTTGTATTTGCGATTTCATTAGTTTTAAGAGCCCATACGTGTATGTATAACGATGTTTTCTAATAAAGTTTGCATTAAAACAAACCGGAATTGAAGTCTAGCGAGGTTTCAGATTATCAACATTTTGTCACACAACAAACAAAATTTGAGAGTGCTAGTGAAACAAGTTGTTTACTACTAAATGTGACACTTGGATTAGTGCAACCCAAACTCGACTCTTCTGGCACGCGTCAGTTAATGACGTACGTGACCCGTGTGAGCCCCTAACAGTAGACATCCACATCCCCATCCACATACATGCAAATTGTTATCAGTTCTGTGTGTTGGCGGTCCATGGGAAAAACAATTCTAATCAGAAGCCATGCTTCTTTCCGTTCTGATTAGACACCTCTAACCTTTAATTGTTCCACCTCCATGTAAACAGTAATGATAACGGTCGACGATTTATTCACATACATATGTTTGTATGTTTGATTTCTTCATACATAATTATGTTTACCCCCAATTCAATTTACAATTTCATTAATCTTTGTTCATTGCCTATCAGCTCTGTTTTCAAAATAAACCCTAATCAAAATTAATTTACGCTTTACATACTTCCTTTATAAATATCTAAAACTTCTCCAACATATCTTAAAAGGAAACTGAAAATTTTCGTCTATCATCGTGTGAAAGCGCCGTTAAATGTACATGGGTCGCCCAATAATATTCATATGTGTATGTATGTGTATGTGTAACTTTTCCCATATGTACGGTTAGTTGAATCCGGGATCGTAGACTCATAGAACTTAATTGATTTAATCAACAAACTAGCTCGGGCGTTTGACTTATCATGTGATGTGAACTTGGCAAACCCTCTTCACGTATTGAGTGAGTGATAGTGCAAGCGGCTGGTAACAAAATATACTATAATTAGGATTCAAAATACGCCTAAATTAATTGTTTTCAATACTCAAACAGTTTATTCAAACTTACTGATTAAAAAGCCGACAGTCTGGCAGCGCCATTAAACAAAACAGCTGATAGCCGGCAGCATCGACATCAGCATCAGCTTTGTTGCCACCACTGTTCAAAGATTCAGGCTGCCACTCTACGGTTTACATAACATTTGTTATTAAACTATTGTCACAATGGCAAAAATACTTGTAAGATATTTTCCCACTGTGATTCGAACTGCAAGCTGTAGTTTACGCCATTTATCGATTGGAAACCCTAACAAACTTGCCGTTGCAAAGTCAACAATTTTACAAAACAGTTTTACCGCCACAACAACTCAACGTCTCTACAGTAGTGGCAGCTCCATTGGCATTGTTGATTATGCTGCAGTCAAGAAATTGGTGAACGAGCCAAATAAGTTGCTCATTGATGTGCGTGAGCCAAAGGAATTACAAGAAACTGGACAAATTCCATCCAGCATCAACATTCCATTGGGCATCGTTAGCCAAGAGCTGGCGGCCAACGACCAGGTTTTCAAATCGAAATATGCACGGGATAAGCCACAGCCTGATACGGAAATTGTGTTTCATTGCAAAGCCGGAGTTCGTAGCTTAAAGGCTGCAGAAGCGGCTGTCGCCCTCGGCTTTAAAAATGTGAAGAGCTACGAAGGATCCTGGCTAGACTGGGCCGAGCACGAAGGACTACCAAAGTAAATACTCAAAACTCGAAATATTAGATAACATTGCTTTTATTGAATTATATTCAATTTAAATAAAATTTTATAAACTTACAAATAAATAAATTGACTGAGATCTAATTTTACTTAGAACTAATAATACTAATAAAGGAACATTGTACTTTTAATCAACCTCCTCAATGGTGGGGCCACCGCTACCATTGCAGCCTCTAGCTTGTTGACCACAGTGGGACGCTTGCGGACCATCGCCGCCTCCAGCTGACTGATGCATCTTCGTCATCACAGGACTGCAGACTTTTGTGAGTTCCTGCAGTTTGTATTCGTACTCCTCCTTCTCGGTATTAGCATCGAGCCACTTGATCGCTTCGCTGCACTTGTCCAGCACGGTGCTTCGCTCCGACTGCGAAATCTTGTCTTTAGCGTTCTCGGCACAGTGATGTCATCAGTGATGGATCAAGGAAAAAAAAAAGCTGAAAAAAGCTGGATTCAAGGAAAAAAGGTTGACAAAAAAGCTGATTTTAATTACATATGTATATGAATACCAAACTATAGGTATTTTTATTAAACATAAATCATATCCTTGACAAATAGACAAATTGAACAAAAGCTAATTTGTTTTTTTGCACATAGCCCTCCATTGAGCCTGCGTGCTTTTTTGTAGCCGCATGCGCATGCAAGTCACTTAATTTGGCAGTTATTGTGCAATTGCAATAGCTGTAATACGCCCGTGTTGCGTCTGTGGGGTCCTTCCTTAGCCAATCCTTGAATTCTGTGGCCCGTAGCCACACATCTCGCACTTTTTGCTTATAAACTTCCTTCGGCATGATCACTAACCAGAGAACACATAGACCGGACAAGTAGTGTAAAGCGTTTTGCACACTTTTTTTCGGGAGTTATCTCCCAGACACTTCGTATTTGCTCGGCTCTTCACTTTTTGGGTTCGGGCTACGAAAATATACGAAAGCACAATCATTTCGCTTCAGACCGAGATGGTCGACTGTTGAACAAAAGGTCCCTCTGCGCTGAATGTTTCCCTTGCTCTCTTTCTCTCACGATGCTCTCTGCTCTCTCAAATATGTATATGTATGTATGCATCAGTGTTGCTAATTTTTGTTGAGCCAAAAAAAGCTGTTTTTAGTGGGAAAATACTTTAAAAAAAGCAGAAATTAAAAAAAAAAAAATCGGAAAAAAGCTGATGTTTTTTGCTTTGATTTGATTGATATTAAAATATATTTTTAACAACTTATAATCATGGCATCATTTCTTCAAACACCGCAAGCCGTATCTGTGAAGTTTTATAATATATGTTTCACCAGATGCTTGAAATTGAGTTAAGCATCATAGTATTGATCTGACGAAAAATGTTACTCTGGTTAGTGGTCATGCTCAGGCACACAGGCACACAAATGCTTCTATAAGCATTGTGAGCTCGCGGCCAATGCGTACACACAATCAAACCCATGTATGTGTGTGCAGTCCACAAGATCTTCCAAACAGTGTTGCCGGCTTGCTTATTTTCTGCCAGATGTGTGCGCTTTGCGGAAAAAATTAGGAAATCGCGGATAGCGGAAAATCTTATTTAAGAATCGAAACAGCTAATTTTAATTTTTTTTTTTTTTTGATCTGATTTTAGTTATCACAATAAAGTTTTTCAATTATCAATTGATAAAAAACTACCAATCTGGTAACTATTAAACACTTCACTAGTTCTGCAGAACTTCCATCTCTAACACATAGTGGTGAAATAGATTGGCTGTTGCGATTCGAATATATCCGTTACCTTGGTCGAACGCCAAAGTGGTACGGCCAAGTCGATTTAATAAGAAATGAAATAGGTAAAGGCTCAACAAGTGACAGTGTCATTATAACTAATATTTTTTAAATTTCACATCCGGATTGGGTCGACATAAATCTTGCTTTACTATAATATAAAGTTTCTCCGAACTGCTTCAAATCGACAAAAACCAAGGAACATTTAAATAACGAGCCCTAAGGGACTATCTAATTACTAAGTTATTATCATTGTAAACATGTAAATGAATTTATAAAGCTGAAACTTCTATTATTTCCAATATGAATATGAAATTTTGGTTACAATATATGCACGTATGTACATATACAATTACAATTAAAATTACAATTTTACAAGCGGCAAGAGAGCAGAAATTTAGCATCGAGGCATTTTGTTCGGTCGCATATTTTGGTAGCCCGAACTTAAAAGTAAGGAACCGCGCAAATACGAAGTTATGAGGAGTTCCAATGCAAAAAAGTAAGAAAAAAAACCAGGTGGCTACATGACCATTCCAATCGTCTAGCTTTAGGACAACACAAATAGCAGCCTACAGCGCTAAATAAGATTTCACATTCTGGGATTGCCAAATATATGGATTGCTCCTATTAGAGTTCAAACCATCCGGTTATTGTTAATACATTTGCTTCTTGGTTAGTATAAGACAGATTGCAAATAAAAAAGAAAAAAATTAATTTAATTTCGATTTATTATAAACTTCAGTGCTTTTCGCTTGCAACTACTACAGGAACAGAAAAAAACATTAAAAAAATATCCAAAGTGCTCAAAAAATTAAAATAAAAATTTGACTCATCTTTGACGAAGTTTGAATGCTTGTGTGAGTGTAATTTGTGAGTCGGGGAAGGAAATTTGTGGCGGATCTACTTCTTTAAAGCCTGCACAAAGTTGCCCATATCGTACTCTTCCTCATACTGGTGCTCGGACCACAGCTCCGGGAGGTTTTCAATGATGGTATTCATGGACATGCCACCACTGCCTCCAGCGGCTGTTGCGGCTGTTCCGCTGTTACTGGCCTTGTTATTACCGCCATTGAACAGATCAAAGATCTGTGAGGTGCCCATAGTCTGAAGCGAAGCATTGTCGGCACTCACGACCGTATTAGCGGTTAGGATCTTAAACTTTTGCAGGCTCATGATTTTCTCTTCGAGAGAGTTGCGTGTAATTAGTCGATACACGTTGACCACTTTCTTTTGCCCAATGCGATGCGCACGATCCATAGCTTGCAGATCCTTCATGGGATTCCAGTCATGCTCCACAAAAATGACAGTATCTGCGCCAGTCAGATTCAGACCCAAGCCACCAACCTGAATACGGAAAGAAAAACATTGGGTTTAATTATGTGACTGGCAAAAACGATGTTGGGACTTACCAAAGTGGTCAGCAGCAGCACATCGATGCTCGGATCACTGTTGAAGTTGTTCACAATATCCTGGCGCAAGGACGCTGGCACGCTACCGTCCAGTCGCAGATATGTAACGCTGGGTAAATGCTTGCGCAACAAATCGTGTTCCACAATATCAAGCATAGCCTTTAGCTGGCAGAAGATGAGTGCCCGATGCTGACTGACTGACTCCGTTTGAACACCTATGCCGCAGTCCAAAAGTAATTGCCTGCCAAAGTAAGAAATAAGCGATTAGCATGGATCAATGACTTCGATCTAAAACCACTTACTTCAAGGCTGGCAGCTTAGCTGAATGCTCGATGTCATCCAGTGTGCTATTGTTGAGTGCCAGCTGGGCGGCGACATTGCTGAGATCATCGCCGGATTGGCGCAACACTAGCTTGGGGTGATTGCAAACGTTTTGCAAATAGCGTAGGGCCTGGAATATGTGTGTTTTGGTACCGAGATTCTCCGTATCGTCCAACTTATCCAAACAGTCTTTCAAATGTTTATTACTAAAGTCTTCGTAAAGGCGCAGCTGCAAGGGACTCAGTTCGCACAGCAGATCCTGGGTGATTTTAGGCGGCAGATCCTTCAGCACATCTTCTTTAACACGGCGCAGCAGGAATGGCAACACCTGGCGATGTAGCGCCTCCATGGCCAGCACGCCAGCTTCCTGCTCCTTGGCCGAGCTTTTGCCATCGCGTGAGGCCAATATGGGCCGAGAGTACCGTTGGATAAACTGTTTCTCAGTGCCCAGAAAGCCAGGCATTAGGAAATCAAACAGCGACCACAACTCCAGCACATTGTTCTGTATGGGCGTGCCAGACAAGATTAACCTATGGTTCGCCTTAATCTGTTTTATGGCTTTGGAGCTTTTCGTCTTTCCGTTTTTTATGATGTGCCCCTCGTCCAGCACACAGTAGTTGAAGTGGATGCCACTGAAGTAATCAATGTCCTTCCGAATGGTGTCGTATGAAGCGACTACCAGATTGCAGCTAGTGCCAATTTGGCTCCGAAGTTTCTCGCGGCCAATGGGAAAGCCGAAGTAATGCAAAGGCCGCAAAACAGGCGACTGGGCCAGAAACTTTTCCACCTCGTACACCCAGTGGCCGGTGAGTGTTGGTGGGCAGATGACTAGGCTAGGAAGTGGCGCCAGCTTGGCCTCCTGGCGCTGCACATGGTCTCCGGCTAATATGCAGATGGTCTGGAGGGTCTTGCCCAGCCCCATATCGTCGCAGAGTATGCCGTGCAGATTGTACTTGTTGAGGAACCACAACCAGTTGACGCCTGCCTGCTGATAGCCACGCAGCTCCACACTAAGCGCCACCGGCACATGATAGTCGGGTATAGTCTTTGGCGCGAATAAATAGTCGAGGAACTCACGATCTCGCGTCTTGCGCTCTATCAACGGCTCGCTTTTGATCTGTGCCGCTGTGTTCGCGCTCTCACTGCTGTCCAATGGCATCAGTTGGATTAGGGTGGCAAATGAATGAGTGGCCAGCAAGCGGACCGATTCATCTGCATCGCTCATGGCACCCAGTAGTGGCACCACTAGCAGAACTATATATGGCACTACGCGGATTTGCAGTCGATTGACTATCCGCTCAATAGCCTCCACAGCGCCCTGTCGCTCAATCGGCTGCTCTATCTTAAGTAGCAGCCCCAGCATCTCCGTCACCACAAACTGCATGGTGCGACATGGATCGATCTCAGCCAAGATGGCGATGCACCGAGCTGCCATGTGACGCAATACCTTCAGAGGATGCCGCACAATGAAACCGAGATGTGGCAGAAGCGCAAACAGCTGCTCATGCAGCGCAACGTGCAAATGCGGCGCCGCCGTTTCGATAAGCTGCAGTGAGCTGATCAAATCGTTGCATGACGTTAGTTCCGGGAGCGTGCTAGCTAGCGTCTGTGCATCCGTGCTAGCCACGAATTGCTCCAGCTTGCCGAACATTAACTGCTGAAATATGGGCACCTTTTCCACAATGCGCTCCCCGAATGTGCTGCAGAGCTTGGCTATGGCGCAGGCTGCTCCCAATCGCTGAGTTCGACACTGTCGCGCCTCGGCCTCTTTGGCCTGTCGGGTACTGAAATCACAACTGGCCGCAGCCGCCGCCGCCGCAGCTAATACTTCACTGGCCGGCGGCCTGCCCGGTCCCCTCGGCGTCGTTGCCAGGGGTGTGGTGCCCGTTCGTGTGCCCGCGCTGCTGCCGCTGCTGGCTGCACTGGTTGCAGCCTGTTGCTGCTTAAGCGTAAGTATTCCGTAATAATTGCAATTGTCGTTTTCACTAACACTGGTAGTCGGCCGTGTCTCCAACAACGTGTGCAACGGCATATCCTAAATACAGGACATATATTAGTTAGGGTATTTGACGATACCAATGATTATATCACTTACCAGTTTGGGGGTATGCTCCGTATCGCTGCGCAGCAGTGTACAGAGATTGTTCAAGATTTTGCTATTGGGACTAGGATTTCTGTCACAAACTTGATCCATGAGGTGCACCAAGAATTCGGCTGATAGTTGCTGCAAGGGAATACACTGCTCTCGCTTGATCGACTCCATCAATGGCTTGACAACGGGATTTAGCTTGTCAGGAAGACAATGCAGCGCGCAGATAGCACTGGCCAAGGCCGCCTGAGCGCTGACGTGATAGGCGCCCTGCTCACTTGTCGTCTGCTGATAGGAGGTCTGCAGGCTGCGCTTTCGTTCCAGCAGCATATCCAGAACCTTTGGTTTTAGCGTATAGCTGCGCAGATTGTCACTCAGCGGGTTGGCCACCGCTTCGATCTGATCAAGCGTGAGAATCTTGGCATTATTGAAGTCGTTGATTGGTATTTTGTTTTGCTTTAGTGTCGCTATAAAGTCCTGTGCCTCCTGCAGCAGTCGTGTTAGCGACATGGCCACCTCGTCGTAGTAAAAATACTCTGACACACATAGATGCAGCTTTGCCTGCAGATTTGGTGGTCCAGGTCGCACGGGCTCATTCTCCAGCGCCCAGAAGGCAATTATCAAACCGCATACAATGCGCTGCACCGCCGAGTGCGCATTTAAGTGGCCCAGTAGCACTTTGGTATAGCATTCCGTGGGACTCTCCACCTGTGGAGTATAAAGCACACCCGGCGCCGGCTGCACCAGGTAGTGTGAGAGAGCGCCCAGAGCTCGCGAGGCTGTGATACGCGCACGCATAAAATTCGCTTCCCGAACCTCTAGTGGTGTCGCCTCACTTCCGCCCAAATACAACTTCTGCATGGCATTTGTATGAGCCAAGGCAACTCCGCCCAAATCGTCGCCCATTCGAGGGGTGCGACGCCGCGTGCTGGCCACCGATACAGAAGCAGCATCGCCAATAGCTCTGATGATAACGGACGAATCAAAGGCCAGACGTGGCGGTTGCATGGCCAGGCATATCCAGGATGAGACGTGCGGGCAGGCTGCGTGCAGCAGCGCACCCAAATTCGCATGCTTGATGAGATTGGACCAGACCTGATATGCCAAACTCTGTATGTCTTCCTGCGGCTCAACTAAAATACGCTGGTAAATGTGACGCAGGGCCTGCTGAAGCAGTTGCCAGTTCCAGTCCACGACGCCAAAGTTGAGCTTCAGCACCTTTTGCTGGCCATTGGTGCTGCCGTCTCCCTTATCTGGCTCCAGTTTGACGTCAGATGGTGTTTGTTTAGGCTCAGCCTCGCCGCCGCTCGTTAGGGTGAGCAGCGTCTTCAGTGTCGAGCGACGCACCGAGCTAGTGCTGTGGGACAGGAACGGAAATAGGCGTGGCACCAAGCTGCCTATGGGTTCCATTTCGATCCAGCTGGCTGCTCGTGGCAAACATAGTATGGCTGCCAACAAACCCATGAAGCTGTTGCAAGCCGAGGTTAGCTCATCCTGATCGAGCAGCAAATCCCACAGCATCTTCACGATGGACGACACTTGTGCTGCATTCAGCAGCTGTGGCAGCCACACGGCTACTGGGATTAGCGTCGCTGCCGCTACCGCGCCCACATCATCAACGGCATCCAGTAGACCCGATAATATGTCCGATATAGACTTGGGCAGGTGAATGGACAAGAGTTCCTCGCGCACGACAAACACATACTTGAGGCCCAGCAGGCCGCCATGGCGCACCTCCCACTCGTTCTTGTGGCGTATTAGCTGAAGCAGAATGTCCACAATGCGGTGAACTTTGGGCTCATCGATTGCCTTGACCAGGGTGCCCAGCACTTGGGCGCATGTCTCACGCACTGGAGCTACAACCTGATCAGACACAAAGTCTCCGAATCGGTCAAGGCATAGCACACACAGCAACCGAATTGCAGCATCCTCCAGCCATCGACCGTGCGCCTCGTGCATTTGCTCCGGGCTCTGCTGCACGCACTTGCCTGCCCCCTTGCCGTGCAAATTGATGAGCTGCCGCAGCGCAGTGGCCGCCCCATGGCGAACCTCCCACTTGGCGTGAAAGAGATCAATAAAGAGTCGCGCACAGAAGTTCTCCAGGGGCCACGAGACAGCATCGACCCAATTGCCCGTCGCATCTGGCACAGCGGCTGTAAGAATAAAAAATATATATAATTAAAAGTTTTAATTAAAAGAAGCGGAGGAAAATGTGAGTGAGGGAATATGAGTAAGTTGTGTGGTGCATCCAAGACTGATTTATTTGAAAAAAAAAAAAAAATATATATATATATTAATTTAATTAAATAATAAAATCAAAGGAAGATTGAGAATAAGAAGAGCTAAATTTGAATTGCTTTAGAGGCTATATGACATCATGCATATCGATGTGCCTCTGAGTATATGCCAGATATTCCATCTGGTTGAGATAAAAAAATTCGTAAAATATTGCGAAATCGATCGAGTATATCTCCATACAATTGAGATCAAATAGACTGAAAGTCATTAAAATAAGTATAGCGAATTGATATAAACGCTAGGCTTACAATTACCAAAACTTAAACATTTTGGTCAATGCAATTAACATAACAATTAGTATTTAACAAAGTTGAGGATAATTGTTTCAAATCAAATACAAATCTTAATTGGAGTACATAAATTGAAAGATATTCGTGTCGAATCCAATTCAAAACATAATTGAAGGATATTTGTTACACATCAAAGAAGCATCTTGATTGATGTCCATAAAAGTGAAGGTCAAACCAGCTTGTTACGATATTTTACAATATTTAATGGACACTTTAGTGCACTCAAATCATTCAGCGAAAAAAAAAAGAAATATTTCATCACAACTTAATTACTCGGCATGGCTAAAAATACAATTTTACGTCACTTGAGCAAATATTGTGGTTTGGGATTGCTGCCCACGTACCATTTAAGCTGTAGAAAATCTCGTGTCTGTCGTTTGCTTTCAGTTTTTTCTTCTCTGGCTCATCGCCTGTGACTGTGGCACCGTTGCTTTTGTTGTTGTTGCTGCAGCTGCTGCCGCTGCTGCTGTTGCTGCCGGCGCCAGCTGTTGAATTGCGGCGACTGCAAGTGGGCGTGACTACGGAGGCGGAATTGGCGGTGCTTTGACGCGCTTTGCGCTTGGCGCGATTCATCTCACGGCAACTGAGCCGCTGGCCCGAGGCACTGACAGCACCTACTCCTCCTCCGTTGGCTTGCTTGATATTCAGTATGTGCTCCACAGGCAGCTTCTCGGCATTCACATTGTAGCTGGTGCCAGAGCGCGCCAATGCCACATCCTCATCGGTGATCATGTCAGTCAGATTGACGCCCAGCTTGGCGGCAGTGGTGAGGCCCAGTTTGTCGTTGAGCAGCGCACGCTGGCGACACAGTCGACCGGCCTCGCTCTGATCTTCGGCGGCGCCGCCGCTGGCAGGCTGCTCCTCCTGCACATCGAATTCGTTCCCCTCAGAGCCGATCAGTCGGGCGCCTTTCTGTAAAATCTGCTGTAAATCGAACTCATCAAAGCTGAGCAATCGCTCACTGCATGGCGTCGTCGTAGTCGACGAAGAGGCATTCGATTGACAGCTGTCCTCTTCGGCGGCATCGCTCGCCGAGCGCTCTTTCTTCAATTTAATGGCGCCCAGCTGCAGCTCCGGCTGCCATGGCGGCACCTGCTTCAGTATCGCCTCCACCGACTGCGCGGCGGCAATGCGTGTCTCCCACGAGGCACTGTGCAGATATCCCACCAGCCGGTTGAGCAGCGTGTGCAACTCATGTGGATATAGCTTCTGCACCTCGCCAATTTCCTTGGCAGCCGCGTGGCGCGTGGCTGCCGTGGAGCCCGACTCAAGTAATATGAAAAGGCGATCAAGTCTGGTAGAGAGACAGAGACAGAGAGGGAGAAGGAATAAGCATGGATGGGTTTACGTTTTATTATTATTTTATTTACTTACCGGGATGTCATTCTCCAATTGATATTTGTGATTCGTGATTCGGTTGCTTAAAATAATCAAACTCCGAACTGCTCTATTACTATATGTAACTAATCTGCAAAACAACAAATATAAAAGATCATAAGTTTCTTGGCACTGAATTGGCATGAATAACGGCTGTATTAGTATCGTTAACTATTTTGATTTGATTGATTATTTAAAAAGGGAAGTATATCAGCTAAAAAATAATTTTGATTAATTTCTATGCAGTTTGAACTCTTTCAGAAATTATGACTAAATGCTCATCTCTGACGGCATCATCATTACTATTCACTGGTATAAAGAACATATTTTATATTTCACTTATCATTATGTCTGTTATCAATCTCAGCCATCGACTGTGCATGTTTATGACTCTAGATAACGTGCAAATGAATAGATCTGCATATAATGTTGCATGTTACCAGAGTATTTACATAAATACTTTGCTACTCACGTATTTGGACGTCATAAAGCCATCAAATTACATACGATAACAATTTCATTTCTATATTTATGTGTACAAAACACTTACACACTAAAGCTCATATTTATTGCATTGGGACAGATTGGGGGCCCGCCGGAAAAAAAACATAGTTAGCCGTAAGTAGAATTTGCCTAGAGCAGCAAATGAATTTCCAACTAGAAAACTATTGGAGAACTGGGTCAGTTGGGACCCTGCCTATACTAATGCTTGGAATTCCGACTCGGCAACAAAGAATAAAAAACGTATACGAAATCGCGAGCCTCATATGATTTGTGTTTATCAAAAACAAATCTGTTTGTTTCTTTGAATTTACTTCTCTTTCTTTTTGAATAAGGAAGCTAAACGCTATTGCAACCTTGAATATTAATCAAGTATTTATATAACAATATGTTTGTACGTTTCACGAGTCTGTCTGTTTGAATGTATGTGTGTGATTGTTTCGCTGTTTGTTGTGTTTCTTATTTTTATAGCAAGCGCGTTGAAATCGAATCACATTATTACGATTTTTTGGCTGCATACACAGTGAATTTATTTATTTATTTTTTTTTTTTTTTTTTTTTTTAGTTTTTAGTTGTTTATGGGTCGCGTTTGCGAAACACGCAACGAGTAAGTAATCAAAAGAGCGCCAACTAGAAGTCGACTGGGGGAATGAGCATATGAATTATATATACTTTGGGGGTGGATTGGATTGGATTGGAGTGGGGTGTGCTTACCAAGCTGTAATCGGCAATTGCATAACGGGGCTGTTTGCAGAGCATTATAGGCACAGATGTGCACAAATTGATATATCACAGCTATGCATGTTTCGTTACGCAATTTAAATTTGTAAATCGTTCTGTCAAAACTTAATTGATATTGAATGTGAGAAATCAGTTGCTTTCTGTTTAATACATTCCATTTTCGAGATGAATCACTTTGCCGTGTGCCATATATACATGTATGCATGTTAAGCTTCTGTTATAGAAAAACTAACAGCTAAGCCCTTTAAATAGCAAAGTTTCAGAAAATATATTTATTTTACGTTCAACTTTAAACTAAGTTATTTTATTTGCTTAAAGAATTGTATATTGTAATAAATGTTTTGAAACGAACACAAATTTAATATTACTGTAATATTGAAAATAATATAAAAAATAAAACATTTTATCTGAATTACTAATTTAACTAGTAAAGGATGAGAGATATTCATTGAACGTCATCAATGGGACGTGATTATTTAATGATTTTTTGAAACTCATAAAATATACGTGAGAAAATCGTTGATTTAAAAAAAAAAATTTACCAAAGACAAAACAAAATCGTCTCAGCAGGATTTTGTTCATAACCACCACAGCTGTGCACAGTCGTGTTTTGACACGAATGCAAATGATTATCAAAATTATTATAATGATCTACTTTCTCTGAAGTTATCTATTTGAATGTTATACAAGAAAGATAAGAATTGATAACGGGGAATGCTTAAAATGATTACAATATGATTGTATATAAAATTTAAATAAAAACAATGAGCAAATACAGTAATTGAAAAACAAAGGGATTGACAATCAATAGAAAATTGATTTAGCTTTAGCCATCGAAACAATAAAATCGTCAGATTACATACATTGATAATGACCCTCGTTTAAGGTATGCCCTGGATCGCTTGCTCATGAATTGACAGCACTAAGTAAACGATTATTTATTTGTTAATAAATGCATGTCAACGAACGCTGCGCATTATTAGTTTATTGCAATTTTTAGATGCAGGGAAATTGAATTGAACTTCTCTCTAAACAGGCCTTTAAATTGTACACAAATTAGATTATCGCCAACGTATATACATACATATAGATATCTTATCTATCATTTATACGTATGCATATAGATAATCTCTTTTATATGGTTAACACATTTGGTGCAAAACATTTGCAAATATATATTCGTGCCTGAAATATTAATAATCGGTTAATGAAGTGATTATTGCGCAGTCGTTTACAGTCAACTTCAATGTTCTTACTTCCTGTAGTAAACGTTTAGTAATAGTATATGTTTGTTTTGAAATTCAGAAATACCGAATTTTGTTGCTTTTTGATAAGCCGTAAAAAAATATAAATAATGATTAGAAATACAGACAGAAAGAGTCAGTGAGCGACAGAATGAGAGCGCAAAAGAGGAGTGAATAAGGTAGCGTGTGATTAAGAGGGAAAGAGAGAGAGAGAGAGAGAGAGAGAGAGAGAGAGAGAGAGAGATACTAAAATAATATTGTTAATGCATACCATGTAAGTTTATTCATTCATAAATAAATACAGCTGCGGTCATAAAAATAGTAGTACGGCTGAGCACTTAATGTTTTACAAAGAAATGTGTTAAGAATCAATATCGACATCTATGTGAATAAAAAATATTATAATATTAATATTAATTTTACAGTTTTTAAAATATTGAGCTTATCACCAAAGAATTTTTTTTCGTCCAATTGTATTAATAGCACACCTATTTTTATTAACCGCAGGTGTAAGTTTGCTGTTTGAGCTCACTTAGCATACAACATCAATGAATTCGAAACACTTAAAATTATGGAGCTATCATTTAAGCCATGTGGATTTTTAATAAGCGTGTGTTAATATGGCTTATATACGCCCGATACCATGAGTCAGCAGCTTAAATTTAGTTGAGTTATAGATAACAAACGATGAAATACAACGGACGATAAAAATAAATTTTTGCTAATTTTTATTACGAGCTTTAATACACTAGAACTGGCATTGTGAATTATTATATCGCTTTTATTTATTTTTTGTGTGGACATGTGTTCATTCTTTTCAAAATTTGAATTCAATTATAGTGATCTAGTGATGAGGCAGTATTTCGATATTAATTTGTATTTTACGCATGTAAAGAAAAGCATCCTTTCTATAAACAATTTGATCCGTACTTCAACAACAATTAGCATAACAGGCCACGCGAACACTAAAAAAGTTGTTACGTTGAATTTATCTGCATATCAGATATGTAACAATATGGGCTTTGCGGAATGTGAAAGAAAAACTAAACAAAATATAATAGTCCAGATACACTTCAGCAATTCCACGCTAATTATTGATCGACGTAAATTGATTGTGAGAGATTTCACAAATTGAAGGAATGAAATAAAAAACCTGAAAAATATCGTTAAAAAACCCGAACAGTAAATAAATGTTTAAGAATACTTGTATTTATAGACTAAACAAGTTACCGAAATCGTGTGGTCGATTATGTGTTTAGGAATTTTGCACAAATGGAGATACCTGTGTGTATGAATTTTAAACAGTTCAATATTAGCATACGAGCCACATTTTGCAAATATTAAAACAGCTGTCGTGGGTATTCCATTGAAAATTACACAAAAATCGAATACAATATTATAAGACGATCTGTATCTAGCCACATGGCTGTAAATTTTTCTTTTCATTTCAATAGCATGTATTCATTTCAACCCTTTCATATAAACATCTAATTTCCTTATAAATTAGTTCAATGGCTCATTTCTGAGGATTTTTAAAATGTTAATATTATTCTTCAGCGACTTTACTGATTATCAAACGCATATACCTTCTACAGCGAAGCTCAGGTATTTGAGCTAAGTGCTCAAGTTTTCCAATTTATTTATTTCCAATTTTACCAATAAGTGAATATTCATACGTACAGACATATCGACAATGATATAATTGAAATAGTTTATGCATCCAAGTGTGAACTAAGCACACAAAAGCAACAAAAGCTGTGAGTTCATTTAAAATATTCATGTCAAGCAACTAGAAGTAAAGTGGCTAAACATATTTGGACCCCATATATATACGTACATACGCATGTCTATATAACTAGTTCAAGTGCCCTACCCCACTAAGCCTCACAGAAATAAATTTATGCACACATGCATTATATACATACACTTGTACAGAGGTGCACACGTTTGTATGTACAGAAGGAAAGATATATATATATATATAGAGAGAGAGAGAAACTGGGGAGCGGACTGCTTTAGGCGGCAATGTCGATTACGGTAGCAGACCATAAATAAATATAAATGCCGCTTGCTGCTGGGTCGGCGTCAACGTGGACAACGCATGTTGACTGAGAGTACGACGGCAGCCGCGACTGCGACTGCGACGGCGACGGCGAAAAACGAAGGCACTTTAACGTTAGGCAAAAGCAATTGCTTGTAGTCAATTGGTGCGCATACGCCGCCCAAAATGTAAGTAAGTGTGTGTGTGTGTAAATGCTGGGAGGCAGCAGTGGGAAAGAGAGCTAGACACTAATAGCGAAATGCCGAACAACAATTGAAAATGCCAAAAAACAAACACAAATGCCAAATCAGTATTGAGAAATGGTTGCGGCTAAAAATTCAATCGCGAGGATATTTCAAATGATGCAAAGAATATAAATTAAATTAAATGAGCTAAGCTCCAATATATGTAGGTAAATAAAAAAGGACCCTTAACTTTGCTATTTATTCAATATAACCTCACACACACGTAGCAACAATAGAAAGAACAGATGTATGTTTGTATGTAGATAGTTCTGGACGTTCGTAAGTATATGCAGACATATAATATACACATGCTTGTGTGCATGAGCCCACATAAATTGTACTTATAAAATTTCATAAATGGAGCTTATCACAGCTCAACATGCCCTCGTTGCCCCTCCTTCCGCGCGCTGACGAAGCAAGAAAGACAGAGCGCACACATACACACACACACACACACACACACACACACACACACACTGAGACTCACGCACACATTAAAATTGCAACGGAAGACGCGCAGCGTCAAGGAGAGCGTCGCAGTCGACGCAACGATAAGTATTCGAGGGCTGCGTCTCCACACAGAGTGCCTAATACTAATGTAATTATTGAATGTTTTTAATTTAAATACATAACGCACACTATATTTATGTATGTATACTATCTTGTCCATATTTATAAACACATTACACGGCACTTACCTTTGGCAAATGTTACGATTCGGTTGGTGCTGTCGCGGCGTGCTGAGCTAGCAACTCTGCAGCATACCTATGGCGGCGTCGGAGTCAGCGTTAGCGTCGACGTCGACGTCTGCTGCGACTGCTTGCTGTCACTTCAGCTCATGCGCGTTGCATTTAGCTGATGCATTTTGTCCACTTTTCACCACCAGATAATGATTTTGTAGAAAATATCGCCTATTTAACTTTTCGTTTATTGTTTTAGATTGTAGAGTTCATTTTAGCGTGTGCAGTATGTATGTGTGTTGGGTTCTCCTTGTTCGCTGCTCTGCTACGCGTTCACTTTTTTTTTTTGCTTTTGCAAGCGTCACAAAACTGTTCTTATTCACTCGCACGAGTAGCAAATTCGCTTCATTGATTTTAAACGCACACATACAACATACAACCCCGGTGTAGGTGTGAAGACCGTAGCGGATTCGATTGTGTCGCAAACGTCGTTTGGCCGAAACAGTCAATGCTTTAATTTAACATTTGGTTTGACACAACTACAAATGCACTCAATACGTTGGATATTCTGAAATTTTCGGATATTAATATTACCAGGGAAAGCCATGTTCGCGGTGTTCAAGTCACATTTATACTGTGCGGTGCTCGAATGGCGCATGAAATAAAATACAAACAGGGTTGTCACTGATCATTCATAGTCTCGATTAGTGTGTAATATGATAACAAATTTAACCACAAATGTATCAAAATCATACCATGATTAATGCAACATTATAATGTATATAATAAAGTAGGTAACATTAGGCCATTCATAATTTTTTACAATAGAACCAATGGACGTATGTATTTACGTTGAGTGGTAACACTGCTCAAACTTAGAGATGGAATTCTTTTACTGTGATTTGGTAAACATGAACTAGTTTAATGAGTTGATATTAGAACTATAATACTTTTAGAGCAACAAAAAATAATTACTTTAGAATTGCATTTAACATAAATTATCGAATCAAATAAAGAATAATAACAAAAAGAGCAAATTAGGTTGAATAATCTTGGAGAAAGTTTATTGTTTCTCGTACTCAGAAAACGAGTGTATGTGGTATCGACCACATTTTTATATCGATAGCCATGCACGTCTTTACTCAAGTGGTATCGATACTCCGCCATCCCAATTGTGTGCGTCTATTTCTGCTGCAGCATTTTCAATATTCGTTTTCGACTGGGAAACTGTGCACAATATCAAATAAAAGTATAAAAAAGTGTTGCACAATGAACACTCTCGGTCCTAAAAAGGACGGAAGTCCCAACGTTGAGTTTTTTCAATCACCTGAGACGCTGCAAGGTTTTGAGTCTATACGGCTATGGCTACAAAAGAATTGTAAAAAAGTGAGTACAACGCCAGCGCCGCCACCGTGAGTGAAAACAAAAATGGCGCTTCAAGCAAATTAAAAACACTGTAATTTACGTGCATCTGTATTGCAGTACTTGGCGCATAGCTCGGAGCCAATAACAAAGGAATCACTTGCACAGCTGCTAATACTATTCTTGCAATATGTGGAAGCAAAATTGGGGAAAAACTCGGCAGAACCGCCGGCGACGAGAATCCCGGTAAGTGTATTGGGGGAACAGGGTGTTTTGGGTGTGCAAAATGTTTTGTATGTACACGCGCGATAGAGATGCGCACTTGTAATATTTTTGAGAGAGGGACGAATGTTGATTTATTTATGCACGACCCTAAATAAATTGTATTTGAAAGCCAAATTATAATATATAATTAATAATTTACTTGTTTTTCTTTTTTATTTTTATTTGATCAATATTTTAATTATTTATATTATTATAAATATATAATTCTATTTTCCCTTTAATTTTTTCAGATGCGTTGTTTTTTGGATTTCAAAAACGGTGGAGGGCTATGTATAATTTTCTCTACCATGTTTCGTTTTCGCGCCGAGCAACGTGGCAAGAAATTTGACTTTTCCATTGGCAAGAATCCTACCAGAAAGGATCCTAACATACAATTACTGATCGAGATCGAGCAAGCTTTAGTGGAGGCAGATCTCTATCGTATACCCTACATTTACATCAGACCAGAGATTGAGAAGAGTTTTGAGACACGACTACGTGAGATTCTTGACAATCGACGTGTTGAAATAGTCACCGACGAGGAGGATGCCACGCACATTGTCTATCCCGTGGTGGATCCACATCCCGATGAATATGCTCGACCTATATTCAAGCGTGGCAATCATGTAATGCTTCATTGGTACTACTTCCCAGAGTCATATGACTCCTGGACACTGAATAGTTTCGATTTGCCTGATAATATACCCGAGAATCCGGAATCGCCCGCAGAGCGTTGGCGGGTGTCTGCCTCGTGGATTTTGGATCTAGAGCAGTACAATGAGTGGATGGCAGAGGAAGACTACGAGGTCGATGAGTTGGGCAAAAAAAAGACGCACAAACAGCGTATGTCCATCGATGACATAATGTCCTTTGGCGATGATAAAAAGAAGCCGACCACGAGCAGTGGCACTGGTAAACAGAAGCGACGTCGCTCTCCATCGCCCACTACCTCCACATCCACATCGAAGCCGGGCAAGCGAAAGCGCTCCCCAGCAGTCATACACAAGAAGTCGCGCAACGATGACGATGATGAAGATCTTACTCGGGATCTCGATGATCCACCAGCGGAGCCTAATATCCAGGAAGTGCACAAGGCAACGCATTCGGCACTGCAATCGACTGCTAGTCCAGCACCTGGTGGAAAATCGCGTGCGGACAACGATATGATGCCTATTAAGGGTAAATTATCCATATTATTATTGTTGTTGGCAATTATTGTTATAATTAATTAATCCAGGTGGCACCATGACTGATCTGGACGATGAAATGACTGGCGGCAGTGCTGCCCAAGCGATGTCAGCTGGCGATGGCGACAATTCACAGACGGGAAAGACCAGCGACAACAGCAATACCCAAGAATTCTCATCGTCTGCCAAGGAAGACATGGAGGATAATGTGACCGAGCAGACGCATCACATCATTGTGCCCTCCTATTCCGCCTGGTTTGACTACAACTCAATTCATGTAATTGAAAAACGCGCCATGCCTGAATTCTTCAACAGCAAGAACAAATCGAAGACGCCAGAGATTTACATGGCTTATCGCAATTTCATGATTGACACCTATAGGTGAGTTCCACTTTACAAATTGAAATTGAAGTAATCCATTCCCATTTTCTTTGCAGGCTAAATCCAACTGAATACTTGACGAGTACCGCTTGTCGTCGTAACTTGGCTGGCGATGTGTGCGCCATAATGCGAGTGCATGCATTTTTGGAGCAGTGGGGTCTAATCAATTACCAGATTGATGCTGATCTGCGTCCAACGCCTATGGGCCCGCCGCCCACTTCGCACTTCCACATACTGTCGGATACACCATCAGGCTTGCAGGCGATTAATCCGCAGAAGACACAACAGCCATCGGCAGCCAAGACACTACTTGATCTTGACAAGAAGCCGCTGGGCAAGGAAGGTGGCGTGGATTGCGATAAAGGCAGCGGCGGTGCGTTGGGCATTAAGACGGAGACACTGGAAAACGGTGCAGCCAGTGGGTTGGCCTCTGGGGTCAGCCAGTTTGGTCTGAAGCTGGATCAGTATGCCAAAAAGCCGGCGGCCATGAAGAATCGTACGGCGGCGAGCATGTCGCGGGAGTGGACCGATCAGGAGACGCTGCTCCTACTCGAGGGTCTCGAGATGCACAAGGACGACTGGAATAAGGTGTGCGAGCATGTGGGTACTCGCACCCAGGACGAATGCATTTTGCACTTTTTGCGTCTGCCTATCGAGGATCCGTACCTGGAAGACGATGGCGGCTTTTTGGGACCGCTCGGCTGCCAGCCAATTCCATTTAGCAAGTCTGGCAATCCAATTATGTCGACAGTGGCATTCTTGGCATCCGTGGTGGACCCACGTGTTGCGGCTGCTGCTGCGAAGGCTGCTATGGAGGAATTCGCCGCCATCAAGGTAAGTTATGCAGCACAGGGGGTCAATGACTTCAATTGTTAATGGATCTTTTGCTTACGGCAGGACGAGGTGCCAGCTACCATAATGGACAACCATATGAAAAACGTGGAGAAGGCTTCGTCTGGGGGCAAATTCAATCCCAACTTTGGTCTGGCGAATAGCGGCATTGCTGGCACAGGGAACGACAAGGACGATGATGAATCAAAGGAGGGCAACAACACCAGCTCCACTGCAGCCGGCAACGATGAAGATGCAAAAGATGTTAACAAAAAAGACGGTAAGCAACTAGCTTTAGCTTAACGATTAATTATTCATTCATGCGATAAGAGTTCCACATGTATAATTTTATTTAGTGTTTCGATTTAAAACCGGGGTATTCCTCGTTTTGAAAACGTAATCTCTTTAGCTTCCCTATAATGTTGAGAAATATTTGTTTATACATTATAAACACCGTGAAATTTAAAATTTGTGTTAACTTAATATTAACATTTCTTGTATTGGTAAAATTTGTATAAGTGGTTTAACTTAATATTTATATTGTATTTATTTATAAAATTTTCCCACTTTGTTTAAACAATCGACAGACGATGCAAAGTCCAAAGACAAAACGAAACCGGATAAGCTCAGCACCGCCACAGACTCGAGTTCCACATCAGCAACATCGGCAACAACAACAACACCAACTACAACAACAGCAGGAGCCGCAGCAGCAGCCACATCAAATAGCACAGACAAGAAGTCGAAAGATTCGTCGCCGTCGTCGGCCGCAGCCGACAAAATCAATAAAACCGACAAGACGGGCAAGACGGCTTCCAACTCCTCACCCACAGAGACTGGAGCGAGCAACGATATTGAGATCAAGACCGAGGAGAACAGTGGAGACGGCGAGACGAAGGATGGTAGCAACGATGCCAGTAGTGGTGGTGCTCCTGCCAAGGATGGAGCTTTTAGCGAGAACAATATGCAAACGGCAGCTGCGGCCGCCTTGGCATCGGCAGCTGTCAAAGCGAAACATTTGGCAGCGCTGGAAGAGCGCAAGATCAAGTCACTGGTGGCGCTGTTGGTGGAGACACAGATGAAGAAGCTGGAAATTAAGTTGCGGCATTTCGAGGAGCTGGAGGCCACCATGGAGCGGGAGCGTGAGGGCCTTGAATATCAGCGACAGCAGCTCATTACGGAGCGTCAGCAATTTCACCTTGAGCAGCTGAAGGCGGCCGAGTTTCGAGCGCGTCAACAGGCGCATCACCGTCTGCAGCAGGAGCTGCAACAACAGGGCCAGGTGGGTGCCGCTGTAGGTGCCATGGCGATGCCACCACAGCAGCAGCAGCAGCAACAACAACAGACGCTACCGCCGCCTCCGCATCAACAGCATGCTCAACAACAGCAGCCGCAGCAACAGCATCCACTTCAGCCACCGCCACCGCAGCAGCTGGGAGCGCCTGCGGTGCAGCATCAACCGTTGCCGTCACACGTGGCTGCAGCCGCACCACCAAATGGTGCACCGTTCACAGCACCGCCAGCTGTCGCTCCGGCGGCCACAGCGCCGCCAACACCACCAGGCGAACTTCCTGCACCAAGCACTCAAGCGCCGACGCCAATGGGTAAGTGAGAGACAAGACGCATCAAGTCTAAATTAAAATGAACACCCCATCTCTGTCTTCCCTTTAGACACTACGCCGCCAGCTAGTGCACCACCTGTTGCCGAAGCCGCCAGCGTGGCAGCAGTTGCGCCCAGCTCAGCGCCTGCTCCGAGCATTCCTGCGGCAAGCGTCGCTGCTGCTAATCCTCCTCCTCCTTCATCTTAAAGCTATTTGTAGGCATCAGAAAAACTTTAGCTATAAGTTGCACGCTCTCAGTATGTATTGTATGCTCGTCTCCCCTCCTCCACCTCCTGTCCCATAACCCAATTGTCATCAACTCCCGCTTGCAAGTCCTTTATTAGATTATTTTAACAATTTTTGTAGAGCCGTGGTGGCGCTTAGTCATTTGGCTGGGCACCTTTTCAATATACACAATTTTGAACCGAGTTTCAAATCCAAAACCGCATTAAAATAAAGTCTATTCATATGTACGGAATTGTTCAATATTTTTTAATGTGTTTCTAAAATTAATAATCAAAGTATCTTTGGGGGGAAACGATTTATATAATATGTATGTGCAATATCAAATATATATTAAATGTAAAAAGCAATTTACAATGCAGACTACACAACCGTAATGTATACTAATTTGAAGGGGAAGATAAAATGGGAGGTGCTCCTTGATAGACGTAATCCAAGTGTCCATTATGTGTTTAATATTCATAATTCAAGATCTAATATTGCAAATGCAAATAAAATATAGAGTATTCTAAATAGGTCTGTAATACCTAATACAATTCAAATTCATTCATAAAAAAACTTTAAGTCTAACTTAATGTACCATAGTGAAAACACTGAGGGGTAGCGATGTTGCGCGTAACAAGAAATAACATTTTAGTGCTGATTGATGACCGGATCCGGTTCTCAGAGAAAGGTTGTGCGTCGTCTGAGTATGTTCGGTCGTTTACTGGATACTGGGTGACCCAGCTCATCATTGGAATGGGCGCGTTTCAGATTCTTCGGGGTTGCTTCACGGTCAGTTATAATCTTGGCCTTGCAGTCATTGGCCACGCAGATGCGGGGCATTGCTGCCGGCGAGACAGTGACGTTGCTCTTGAGGCGGCGCTTGTTGTTGTTGCCGCTGAGCTCCTGCAGGGGCCGACTGGTCGCAACAGTTTCCCTTGCAGCATCAGATTGCCCGCATTGGAGGGCAACAGCGTAGTCGGCCATGAGTGGAATATAGACTCGATTGTAGAAGCTGATGATATCCGTGGTGGGCTGTCCATCGGCACAGTATACGGCCCGATAGATGGCACTGTCGGCATGGGGCTGGCGTCGGTACTGTTGAATAATGTCGCTGAAGGTGATGCGCAGGTGCGACTTGCGCCCCCACAGGTAGATGGCGCATATCAGCAGCTGGTCGAGGTGGCGCTGCTGCAGCAGCTCTTCGCCATGCACAATGATGGAGTGCTCCAAAATGTGCCAAATCTGTGTGTAGCTGGTCACCAAGGATAAACACTTGCAAAGATATGTCAGCCGCTGGTTGGCCACATGGTAGAATTTACGCAGGCAAATTGTCACTGAGCCAGAGGCAAATTTGACATTTTCTTGGCCCAAGCTCGACTGCACATCCTGAAATCTGGGCAGACCTGCACTGTCCACATAGCGCCACAGCTGCGAGCTCTTCTGCCAGATCAGTTTGGTCAGACACTGGGTCTCGATCTCCTGCAAGTGCTTGATCAGATCACGTGTCAGCAAACCGCTTTCATGCCGCACAACCAGCTCGATTATCTTTTGGAACTCGTAAGCATCGATACCAAAGCAGTTCAACACCCAGGGAAACTTAGTCTGTGTCTCGTCCGTCCCGAAGATGTGCAGCACCAGCTCCAGGCAGCAGGCAATCAGTGTTGCATTGAAGGTGCGCTGCAATTGCTTCAGCATTTGTGCGATTTTGATTGAGGGCCTGCGACGTAGCTCGGCGCCGACGATCTTGTCCAGCAGGACATAGTACAAACCTCTGACCAGGTTAAAGCGGCATTCAGTTGTGTCTTGCTTCAAAGGCGATTTAAGCTCAAGCTTATGGCACATCTCACGAAGCGAATTCTCCAAGCGACTCGTATCCTCCTTGCCCAGAGTGCCGCCTATGTAGACAGGCAGGGATTGAGGCAGTCCATCAGTTAACAGCTTCGTAAGATTATCGCGCTGCGTGGCGTTTGTTAGCAGAGAGATAATCTTGCGATCGGCTTCATTTTCGTTAATTCGCTTTTCCGTTTCTCTCAGCGAAAGCTTCTCAGTGGAGGAATATGTCGAGGGTTTCAGTAGAATGCGTTCGTCAATCTCACTGATGTCTGATACGTGTACGGCGTAACTCCGATTTAGAGACGTTAAGTTCACTTCCAGTATGCCGTCCTTGACCAATTCGCGCATAGCACGATCGTTGCCCAGCAGACGTTGATCCATAAACAAGCCCATCACAGCCTTATGGAAGAAGGCATTTTTCATGATTCGAGCTCCTTTTACCGGCAGCTCCGGTATGAGTCCGCATATGGCATCCAAGGCACTGTACTTGAGTAGCATATCGGTGTCGAAATCATTGTTGCTCCACTTTGATGGTACACCTACAAATGAAGTGTTAATTACGTCCGATTTGTGCACTTCAAGCGCGTTAACATAGACCAGTTCCAGCGTGCAAACGAGCACCTGACAGCCATTGACAATGTTGGTGGTTGCAAACGACGGCAGCTCGTTGCGCACCACTAGAAACAGCAGCCAGCCAAATTCATATAGCATTTGATAGTGCGCCCGACTCTCTGCAGTCGATGGCTGTACATAGAGTTGGTTGAAAATGCGTTTGTAGTGCTGTTGCAGGAGCAACGTTATACCGAGACGTCTCTCCAGATCATTAATTTCTTGCTGAAACACTTCAGAGCTCTGCGCTATCCAATTCCAGTGTTCCATTCTCTTCAGAAACTTGGTAATATTAATGTTGAAGCTGCGCAGCAATTGGGTCAGAGAAATGTTCCAGCTGTTGGAACGCGTCTTCTTTTCCCATGGCTCGAGATCGTTATCGCTCTTGCTGGTGGTGTCTTCTTCCTGGCGCATATCCTTCATTTTGGTCTGCTGCAGCTCACTGTATATGGCGCAGCATAGCCAGTCGTCGGCCTCGCTGGACAGCACGCCATCTGCGTTTAGTTTGTGAAACGTTTTGGTCGCTTTTTGCCAAATGCTTTGATCAATTTTTAGCATTTGACAGTTCTCAATGAAACGCTTAAGGATCATCCCCTTGTCTTCGTTTTTCATCATTTGAATGCTGCAACAAAAAAATAAAATGAATGTGCGAGCAGTTCTTTGTCTCCATTTAATTACCTTTTTATATTTTAAATAGCTAAACAAAAATTAATTTTACGTATCTTTCGGCGCGAACATTAAAATGCGACGCGGCGATCACAGGCTGGTCACACTGTTTTTTTTTTGGTGTCCTATATTTCCAACCCAATCAAATAAAATAATATTCTATTGCCTTACCTCAAGCAAAAAAAATTTAACAATTTATAGAAATAAATATAAAGCGTTGAATACTCGATTATGTTACGATGTTCTTTTAATCTTAATTTAAGCTTGAGGTTGAGTGTGTGACCAAACAAGAAAAATGTCAACTGCTCAGCTTGTTCTATAAAAAATAAAATACATATAATATGCTTTAAAAACAGAGAAGTCCCAGTTGTTACGTGCAAAGCTGTGTGGCTGATTAAAAAATAATAAGAAATATTTTAATCATTCATTATTACATAATGCAAGCAAAAAAAATATACATACATATGCATATATCAAAATGTTTTTCCATTAACAGTTAAGCATAATGTTAATTTAACAGTAAACAAGGGATGCTGGCATAACAGCTCTGTATTTGGTTAGTGATTTTGTTAAGTTAGTGCACTAACCATAGAACAGTGGTTATTGTTTGCAAGTGGTTAAAATGCTGCAGTCAAACCGTGTCTTGCTAAAAGAGCAGACTCATTTATATGCCATAGAAAAGAAGCTAGTCAGGGTGCTGCCCGTTATTCAGGAAGCATTGAATTCGCTTAAGGTAAGCAGTAAAAAATGGGCGATTACAATAGTAGCTTAAAATCTATTCATTGTTTAGGTTGAGGAGCTGCATTTAAAATCCAATTCAGTGCATCAAGTGACGTCCATGGAATCATCAAATGTGGGCATGAGTCGGGAAATCTGTGATCAAAGCATGACCACACCGAATGAGGAAATAAACCGTCAGGAAATTGACTTGCAGTTATTCGAAAACGACTTTCAACAGTTTGATGTGGAAATTGAATCGGACTGACCGAAATTACAGCTGTTCACAATCATTTATTGGTACAAATTTAGCTAATTGAAAATATTTGCCAAACTCATTGCGTACTAAATTAAAACTATTTTAAAATAAAGTAATTATAAAATGTTTCCATATTTGTGAATTACCGGTAAAATCACTCAAAGAAAGTAAACTAAACTACTAAAGCTATGTATGCATTATACTTGTTACAGTTACAGTTATTGTAGTACAGTAGTAGTTATACGATTAATATCTGAGAACCGTGTATACATCTTATGCATCGTCATCGGACGACTCAGCTGAGCTATCCCGGCGTTTCTTCTTCTTAGGTGATGAGTTTTCCTGATCATCACTGCTGCTACAGCTGGAGTCGTCATTGTCGCTGTCACTTGAGGAACTTGATTCGCCATCTGAGGAGCTAGCATCATCGTCTTCGTCGGAGCTGGAACTATCGGAATCGCTGCTGCTGCTACTATCCGAATTTGACGAGTCCGAACTGCTATTTGAGCTATTAGACGAACTCGACGATGAAGAGCTACTGCTTCGTTTTCTTTTACGCTTTGTCCGTTTCTCCCGATGCAGGCGCACTTCACCTCCGGCATCTGAAGACCGGGTCTCATTAGTCGATGTTGATTCCACGTTGGCTGCGGCCTTTTCTGCCAAATGTTTGCTTAGCTGCTTGGTACGCGAGCTCCGATGAACGTATTTTCGTTTTTCCTTGCACTCGTAGCTCCAGTGCCCAAAATTTAGACATTTCTGACAGCGGATGCCATTTGGAAATGCAGCGGCCAACTTTGCAGATCTTCAAAGTGAAATGTTAGTTGGGATATTTAAACCCTTATTGCTCATACTTACCGTTGCTTTTGAGCCAGCTTTCGGGCTGCCAACCCCACTAAAGTCATCCTTATATAATATTCTCTAAGATCGTGCCTGGAGCCAATTTTGATAGCGACTTGTGGGAAGTTTAGGAAAAAATGTATATTAGGGTAGCTGTCAAAACGATTTGGTCCTATTTTGTTTTGTTGTCGATACGATAAGTGTGACCGTAGCTACTGAATTCAAATGTATTGATTATGCCGGAATTGTGTTGGAGGTGATTAATAGTATTCGATTACAAAGTCCATAACATCAAAACATTAGTTTGTAGCAATTCGTTAAATAATTTGTACTTGATTCATTAGCGGAGAATTATGTCTTGTCGCTGCATACAGCTGTATTACTTTCAAAAATAATAACGCATGTCCATTGAGGGACAATCAGACACCATTTTGATCAGTGGCCAAGATTACCCAAAACAATAACAAAGCATTTGCTGACTAAGAAGCGAAAGCTGAACCTCGATATTTGGAAAAGATCAGGTAAAGGTTATTTGACCCGTCGGATGATTATTCAATAAACACAAATGGTATATTCCTCTTATACGCAGAAACACTATTGAATAATGGCCGAAAGTGATGCGACGGGGACGGGTGTGGTGGCAGCACCAGCTGGCGCTCGATTTATGCCGCCTGAGGAGTTAGCCATGCAATCGCTTACCAAACAGTTATACAAATCTCGACTCTTTCGAGGCGTTTACCTTGAGCGTTGCTTTGTCGATCAGCTTGGTGGCTATCGCGATGTTATAGTCCTACAGCGCAGCGAACGTGATCTGGAAAAGCAGCTGCTGTCTAGCGCAGAGAAACTGCAATTGTTCTATCAGCGTTTCGTGCCCAATATGTGGGTGGGCATTACCAGAGGGAGCGTGGGCAACTACAAGCACATTCCACATCCTGCACAGCTGGACACATGCATTTGGACGGAGCTGAGTGATTTGGCTTTTGGTGAATACTGGTTCAGCATTAAGACACTACGGTTTCGAAGTCAAGAAGTTCAGATCAAATTGAAAATGGTTCGGCCTGTTGAAGACGAGCCTCTGCCAACACCACGACCCTCACTAAAGAAAAGTAGCCCTAGCAGAGCCCTAACTTCTGGGGACAGCACCAAAGTTGTTGTTGATGAAGTACAACCACCGCAAATCGGATTGGCTGATTTTTTGGAGGTTCTGCAACAGTGGCGTCAGTCAATTGTAACGACAACGTACGAATTTATGGCGAACGATGTGAATAAGCGCAATATAATAGGAACAATACGATTTCTGTGTCTGATCGTGTTTTCCATATTGAGCGGCACTGCTGTCGCTCTTCGGTTTATGGGCATCTTTGCGGTGCGCTTTCTGTTCGAGCTCAGTCGCTTCACACACACCGCTACCCCAATTATATTTAAACTAATCGAGTTTGTCAACAGAATAGTGGGTGCAATCTTCGTCCTCATCGCGATGATATGGAAGGATTTGTTTGTAAATCGAGGCGGCACTGCGCCCAGACAACAAGCACTTGAGGCAAACAATCAATTCAAGAGCATCGCCTATGAGAAGTCCGAACAGAAGCATCGCAGCCCGCGCTATGCGTCATCTCATTATCGGTAATGCCGTTTGAATCAAGTTACCTCTCTATATCTTGGCTATCCCAATTTGTAGGTTGCATCTGCATTTAGTCACGGGGCTACGGGCTTTCGGGGTATTGTTTTCCCTCTCAAATTGTGTTACTAGCAGTAAAATTGTAAACAGCACTCAGTCCCTCAGATTTCGTTGATGTTTGCTCAGCAAACATTCAAAAATGAGATTTTGACATTTGAAACTTGTAATTGTTGTTCAACTATTTATATTATTTTAAACAACCAGGTGTTTTTTATTATTGTATATTAACACGTGTATTGTTTTCAAAATTGTATAGTCTGCGGACAGGATTGTTCGATAAAATTGATAAAATTATTAAATTTTTGTGAATAAAATGTGTAAAATGTGTAAAAAGAGGCGTATTTATATGTGGAGAAAATAAATCTTTTATCAAGATGATATGAGCAGACAGACATATGGATCGATAAGGCTAACTTGGACAGAGTCTCTTGCTCAAGACCATGAATATATATTTATATATATTCTCAATTGCAATTCTGACGAAAAAAAAAAAAAACCAAAATTTTCCCCCACTTAATTATTCGTTCATTATCTACAAATATACAGAGTTGTTTTTAAGCGAAAAATATATCCTGTAAAATAGTACATAGGAAGTGGTGTAAGAATATATGTATTCACTTTTCTATACTACTTTTTATTTCTCATGGAAATTTTTTGTCCTAATGCGCTGGCCTTTCAAATCACTCTCTATATACATTTCGCACTATTTATTATCGAATCACTTTGCCAAATAAGTATTATGTGACTAATCGACTGAAAAGTGAAAGTCTATAAATAAAGGTTTTGATTTTCAGCTTAAATTAAACAAGTCAGTCAAAGTTAAGTAAACCATTTAACGTGAGCGAATAAACGACTGCATGATTCTCACTCGACGTATCTGCTTATGACAAACATAATGATCATAGTTTTGCAACTGAAGAGCTGAATAATATATAGTAAATTCAAGCAACAGAGGATATGAGTAGTATAATGTTAGTTGATGGTTCAAAGCCATTATACATTGAAGATAGATATAATATATTAAATACTTTGTGTACATACCAACTAGTGAGCATTGTACAGAACCAATATACTCTACCCATTTTGTAACCAAGCAGCAATTATAATTTTAGCTCCAATGTTACCCACAGGCATTTGCGGTCAAAATAAGTATGAAGCCTTATTCTATTCCAACTGTAGTTTTTAGATAAAACTTGTGGAATATTAAAAAATAACGACTTGGTTGTTTTGTTAGTTTTAATAGTTATACACTTTCAGTTTATTTACTTGATGTTATTCTCATTAAATTGTTGTCATATATTTAGGCATATATACATATATGTATAAATATATATTAGAAATATGCATGCTTTTATATATTCATACATATATATATATATATATATATATGTCGACTAGTATAATTTGTCGCTTTGTCTAAATCTTATAGAGATGATGTTCCTTCTCTCAGTGTATTTAGTTTATGGGTTGTCAAGTTTTCAATCTATTTGCATTCGGGTTTATGTTTTCTCGTTTACTGGTACTTCTTTAGTATGCGCTCTAAGTATTACTTGACCTTCAATGTTTGTGTTTTCTTGTTCTACTTCATTATGTTGATAAATCGCAGTAATTCACTTTCCATGTTAAACTTTAGTCAACGCCATCTTCTGAGTCTAACTGTTATAAGTAATAATGTTTGGTTTTATTATTAGTCAACTAAATTATATATATATTTATATTTTTTGTTTTTGTTTTTGTTATGGTGATACATATGTATACTTTAATTAGTACATAAACATAATATATGGTATATTTTTGCTTTATTTATTATATATTATTATTTTGCAATGTTTTATGTTTATGGAATTTTCTGCGTGTGTAGTTTATCAATTTTTTTTTACTTTCGGTATGCAAATGCTTTAACAAACTTTTCATAAAAACTTGAATTAACTGTTGCTCTGCTGCAAATTGTTTCACATACTTTAGAATATGCGTTGGATGTTGGATGTAAAACGGGTTTTATGAACATTTCAATATTTCATTATTTGTCTTATTTTTTTTTTTTTTTTGGGTTTTTAGTTTCAGTAGAAAGGGAAACAAACAATTGAATGTAATCGAAATTTAAAATATCATTAATTTAATCCTTGTTTGTTATTGTTGTTATTGTTATTGTGAATACTTTCGTTTAGTTTTAAAAGTAAAATGTACAATATACAATCTCCATTCCGATCTCGACTTCAATTTCAATTTCTTTAACTTTTACTTGTATATTCAATTATCAATATATTTTGCCATTGTTAACAAATAATTACACATTTATATAGCATACGTCATATGTTCATTTAAATTGTTTAACACGTCCTTGCCTGCTGAAAATAATTTATATATTTTTTTGTAACAATTAGTTAGACATTTAGAGCAAAAACATTGATAATATAGATTGTTTGCTTTCTTATTTCTTCTTCATCTCATTTTATGCATAAAAATTGTTCTAGTGAAATATATATGTAAATATATATATATATATTTATAAGGTTTTTTGAACTGCTTATTGTTTATAATTGCGATTTTGTTATTTGTGTTTTCTGTTTGTTTTTGTTTTGCCCATTGTTAATTGCGTTTTTAATTATATGTATTTTGTTAAAAGTGTTATTTTACCTCAATTACTGTTGTTTTTAATTCTTTTTTATTTTATTTTTTTATTTTTGTGTTTTTTTTTGTTTTTTTTTTTTTGGCATTTATATTAGAAGGAATATATGCGTGTGTGTTTTGGTTAATATATCTGTATTTATATAAAATCAGCCTAAGGGTAAACATAAAATTCTAGATTTGTATAATATTTTTGCGTGACCATGTCGCCAAATCTAATAAAGTATTCAAATAAAAAACAATTCAATAACAAAGCTAATAAATTCAAAATTATTCTTTAGTTTAAGTAAATTCAAGTAAATCATCAAAGAAAATTGAATTTTGTATTAAAGAAGTTTTGTTGAATTTTTATATTTTTAATTGGATTTTATATATGCATATATATATATATATTTTTTTTTACAGAGTACATACATATATATACACATATATGTTATATATATATATCTATAATATTTATAATATTTTTTACACATTAAATTCAAATGCATTAATTTTATCCGTTTCTGTATATGTATATATGTATATATGCGTATATATACATATATGTATATGCATATATACACATATATATTTATATTTATATAATTTTTTATTTATAAATATAAATAACAAAATGTTTCGCATTGAAGCTTCTTTATGCATTCATTACTATATTTTAATACGATTTATACTAATGCCGTTTTGTTGCTTCGATTTGTTTATTTGTTTTCATTTTCATGTTTGTTGGTTTTGTTTCATATTCTAGTTTAAACAGTTTCATGTGGAAATTTCTGTGTATGTATATGTTATAGTTAACTGTTTGCCATTTTCGTGTGCTGAACAATTGGCGAAAGTCCCCGACTCGTCAACCAATGTGACAAAACGATAAGGAGAATACGTCGTATTTGGATTTTAGTTTGAATTTAGCAAAGTGGATTATAAATTGTAACATAATTGAATTGTTCGAGTTTAGTGTCTTATATCATCTTTAAAAGGCAACTGAATAAAATGTTTGCATTTTTGCGCACGGCCAATGGCCAGATCTCAACCAACTTTTCCAATAGGATCCGAGGCAAATTCTATTTACATTTAATCGTCGTATGTTAACGAACTTTTTACGCCAACATTAGATGAGCGTAAAGAATGCCTCGTCTCATAGATAGCCCAACATGGTGCGTTTTAGGCACTTCAATGTTCTGTTGATGCGGCATAAATTGGTTGCGGATCGGTTTGGGGTTGGGGTGTTTGGTTTTTCATGGGTTTACGTAACAATAATCAGAGAGTAGTGGTTCGAAAACAAGTAAGTAAGGTTTGTTAATAAAAGAAACAAGGAATAGAAAGGAATGGAAAGAAACGTTAAGTTATAAACTTAGAGCCAACTTAGAAGAAACTACGATATAAGCTCTTAATTACTTTAAATCATCGGTATCCTCAATTAAGTCGGCATACTCCTCCCAGTCGTTGTTAGTTGAACGTGTGCGCAAATTGGATATTGTCGGTGCGTCATCCTCATCCTCGTCCCCATCATTTGTTCGCTTCTGTTTGCCGCCGCCGCCAGCGCTAGTGCCCCCTTCGTCGACAACCTCGTAGTCCTTGAGCTCAGCCTCCAAGTCCTTCTCCCATTGTTCCTCTGAGAAAGATGCATCAAACTGTCGATTAGTATGTGTGTGGCTTATAGACACATCAGTTCATATTAAATATATAGGTTGTCTTCGCATACTTATGGCATACATTATATTGAATATTATTGATTATAAATGAGTCTAGGCAAGCATTGAAGTTTGTTTAATTTAGATCGACCCTCCAAGCAAGTACATGTGTTTCTTTTCTTTTTCTCGTTTTATATATTTTTACCTTTGCAACTAATCGCGTGGCATATAACTAAGGGGGCATAGGAGGTTTTCACAGACTGTTATTCGTTTAGGTATGCGCACCGTAACTGAAAAGTAATCGTCTACAAAAGGTGGAAAATGTTCTTTTAATATAATAATGAAGCCAATGTAATAAATTATAACTGTTTTTTTTTTTTTTTTTGATTAGCTAACTTGTACATGCCCATAACCTGGCTAATTAACGAATAGCGTGCAATCTGCCCGCGCACCAGGATGAAAAGCGAGGAGGGAAAAGGGTCCTGCGCCATGACTTGCTTGTTGTTGTCCGGATACCAAATCAGGTGCCAAAGATGACACCAAGTATATAACGTATATATGTATATATAAACATTTATATAGATATACATTTATGTAAGTAAAAATGTTGAATAATATTAAATTAAAATCTGTCATGTGTATTTACAGCATATTTAACATCGAAATCAAAAGCAAGCTAAATATTTGGATTTTATTTCCGTTCATATATATTTACTTATACAAAGCACGCCAAATATATAAAAACTAACTAAAAGCTATTCGAAAAATACTGCAAAGTAAATAAATTCGATTTCTGAACAACAATTAAAATTGAAAATGTTTTGGAACATGGACGGACTGACTTACGTTACTGGGAAAAGGTGTTTTTGTTGTTTTTGTTGATTTTTTGTTTAAAAAAAAAAGTTTCTTTGGATTTTGTGTGGTGAGTTGGTTTTATGACAAACACGAAAGAAAGTATATTCTAAATTGGATTCAAAACATGTTTCTTTCAATATTTTGTTTCTTTTCTTTTGTGCAGTTAAAAAGCTTCACAAATTTTGGGTAGAATTTCTTTTGTATTTTAAAGGGTTTGTTCTATACATATATCTACATTTATCAAATTTGCATTTACTCAAAGAAAATAAAACAACAACTACAAAAATACAGTAATTCTAGTTTTTTTTTTCATTTTATACTCATTCACGAAAGTGAAATGGGTATATTGGTTTTGTGTATTGTCCATCTAGTTGTCCGTCTATCTGTATGAATGCAAACCATTTTGCCGCCTTTGAAGCTAGAGATTTGAAATGTGGAACATACTCGTGTATACCCTTATAATTATAAAGTTTCACAATATTGTCGATCTTTCGAATAGGAGCGTGGTTAAGCGGAAAATACACTGGTATCTCAAGTGAAGCTCCAGAGAGTTGAAATAAGCCCATTACACTTTAAGATCTAGAAACTAGAAATGCAACAACCAAATTACTGTTGACATACTCTATATACATATACCAATTAGAGGCGTGGCAAATCGGAAAATGGATCTGTTAGCGTTTGGGCCGTGAATGAGCATTCTGCAATCGGTAACGTCCGGCTGCAACGTTCATATATTTTTTTTTGTTAAATAAAAAGAAAAAGTAAAATTTGTTGAAAACTTAACTGAACACGAATAACAACAAACACATCGACAGATAATATTATTGTACTTATACGTATGGGACACACATTGACAACAGCGATAAGAGAAATAAACTTGGAATTTGTGGCAACTATTTTGTGGAACATAATTTGTATGCAATTGAAAATCAACAACAAAATATTCACAAATTTTGTATGTTTTTTTCGTTTTGTTTTTGTTTTTAAATAAGTGAAAATTGGATTTTTTTCAATCAACAATTTCTAACTTACCACACAAAATTTTGTTTCAGTTTTTAAGTAACATTTTTGGTTTTCTTTCTTTTGGTTTATATAAATAATACGTTTTTTTTTTAATGTTTGTCAAGTGAATATTTTATATATGTATATAATTTGGTTTGCTGTTTTTGTTTTTTTTTTTTTTTTTTTTGTAAATCGTTTAACATTCTGTTTTTTTTATTTGTTTTTTTTTTTTTTTTTTTTTGCCGTTATGTGGACAATTTTGTTTGTTGTTGTTTTGTTTTGTTTATATATTTTATTTTTAGTTTTTGAATTTAGCGTTTATCCATTCAATCTTCTGCAAGATGATTTGAGAACAAATTAAGAAATACATGAAGAAAAATAAATGCTTGTTAAATGTATTCAATACATAATTCATATTGTGTGTTAAGTACTAAGAATTTGCATAGCTTTTTATAGATCTTTCGATGTGTTCTGTGTGTGTGGGAGGTGTTTTTGTGTCAAAGAGGGAAACACGATTCAATTTTGACATCAAATTTTGTTTGTCATATTTTTTTAAATGAAATTTGGCCGAAATATTTGGAAAGAATATGTTAAGATAAAAAAATTATAAATAACAAAATTTATAATCATAAACAAATTTAAAAAGGCGAAATTTTAGGAAATTTAATGAATTGCAATTGAATAAAAAGCACAAGATTGCAAAGAGTATTTCAATAATAAGAATCTGTATCATTTTGGTCATACTCAACTTGTTCGAAATTGATTTGTGGCTAGTTCATATTTTATTAATATCTTGTTAGTTGTTATGAATATATATATTTATATTGATCATAGGTACTTAAAGTGGGCAATTATTGAATTTGATTGGTTTAGTATTTTGTATGCTAGTTAGAAAGGAATGGCAACAACAGATTAGACTAGACTTGAGTTGTCTCTTGTGTTATATATGTTTTTTATCATTTATATATGTACGTATATATCTGTTGATCTATATATTATTTATAATACTTTATTATCCATAAGATGCCATAGGTTTTGCATATTCATTTTTTTGTTTTATGTTTTTATTGTTGTTGTTGTTGTTGCTTTCATTTCAATTGATATTTATTATTTATTGGATTAATAATTAAATGCCAGAGCTTTGGATTGTTGTTAGTTAGTATTTCGACAATAAAGAAAACGATTTGACAATAATTGAATTCATACAAAAGAAAGAAACAGAGCAGAGGAGAAAAAAGAGAATTGTTTGGTTTTTACACTTTGTTTTGTACACACATTTCTTGGTTTGTTTGTTTGTTAAGAGTTGAAATTTGTTTTTGTGTTCTCATAAAAATTTCTATTTGATTAAAGTTAGTTTATGTATGATTAAATGATAATTAAAGTTCGTACAGCCAAACAGTTCAAATGTGGCAAGGGCAAAAGGCAAAAGAAAACCGAAATAAAAGGAAAGAAATCGGAAATATATATTTATTATATAGTATAGTTATGACACGACGCAATGGGGCATGATAGACTAGAGACATGAGTCAAATATGCAGTTACGGACATGGAAAGTTCGGCTCGTTAATCAATTGAATTTAATTATTGGAACATTGCACTTGAAGCTCAGTTGAATGTGAATGTATGGATGTGCCCTTCGAAATTCATAAACTACAAACATTTCCTTCAGCCGTTGCGTCTCTTGTGTTGTCATCTATAACTATAAAATTGTATGAGCTATGAGAAATGCCACGATTTGAAGCGCTAATCGTTGCCTCCTTTACTGTGTATGCATGTGTATGTATATATGCATGTATGTATATATGTGTGTATGTATATTTATGCGGCAGCCAATGAAATTTATGCAAGGACAAACTTCAAGGGCGTTGCATAAAGAAAAACAAAACAGAAAATGTATGTACAAAATGTTTAAAATAAATAAGTCGCAAATTGAAATTAAGTTTGCTTTAAAATTATAAAAAAAAAATATTAATTTTAATTTATTATTTAATATTTTAGTCACTCGAAACGGACTTGATAACACATTTTTCAATTCATTTTATGCCTTTCCAAGCAGCTAAAGTTTAGCAATAATACAAATCATTTTTTGTTCTATTGTCAAATTATCAGAAACTAAATGTTATAGAACTTTACAGTTATTGTCAGTCTTCGCAAGTAATTCTCCAATACAGGCTTGCAGCCCAAATAAATATACAAAACTTGTGACATCTTCGAGATAATGATTAAAGTCCCAAATTCTTATGTACAACCAAATAGTAAAATGTTACCCAATAATAATTAGAATGGAACTTAATCAAATTATAGATAGCTATGGCAAGCTAAGACCTCTTACCATCGGTGCTGGCGAGCGCCTGTTGGGTCAGGCTATCGATGCCCAGCTTGCGCATGCCGTCTTGGATTTCGGCCAAATCGGTATCATTTGATGTTTGGAATTCGTCCGAAACGAACTCGGACTCGGAGATTTTTTGGGTCAAATCATGCTCAAGCTCTTTGGCGGCCTTCAAATCAATGACAGGCTTCGGTTGGTCAGAGACAGCGGCTATCGCTGTGGGGCTGTCGCCGCCTGTCGTAGTCTTGACAGGGTTGACAGTGGGATTAATATTTTGTTTATCTGGCAATTGCTTAGCTGCTTTCGAGCATTTCAATTCATTACAGTCGAGTTTGATTGATTTTTTGGTTTTGTAATTTTGTATTTAAAACAACCAAAAAATATACATGAAAATAAAAAAATAAAATAAAAATATAAATAAATTTAATAACAAATAAAGAAAAATTAGGAAAGAAAGAGAGTAAAACTGAGCTGGTTTGATACTTGATATTTGATACTTGATTATTGATCTTGGGAGCTGAGCGCACGACGAGGTGAATCGGTGAAAATGAGTAACGAAATCGAATCCTTAGCACAGGCGACAGACAGGCCGGTGCAGTTGAAGGACAATTACAAATTATAACCGAACCGAAAGGATATCAAAATCAATGGAACAGAACTCAAACTTAAGGTTCAGATAGCATACTATATAGGCGGTGTGTAGTACAGATACTAGCCGAAAGTTAAAACGAGAGCTAATTCGAAATGAAAAGAGAACAGGCGCGTGTGTGAAAAGAAACGTTTACTAAATCATAAGTGGAAACATAGACTTAGACAGAGAAAGAGAGAGAGTTAGAGAGAGAGAGATAGAGATAGCGAGAGCGAGAGACAGTATAATAGGAGATTGACAGAGTTAATTCACAGAGCGCGCGAACAGCGAGTATTTGTATGTTTGTGTAGGTGAGAGAAAGAGAGTTTGGTAGAGAAAGTTACTGAAGAGGAAAGCGCAAGAAAATCAAAAACTTGCGCATGTTTATCGCTTCGGTGCAAGCGCTTGATTGTGATCTGTTCTTTGGTCTTTGGTGTGATAGCTGATGGGCAATAAACCATGATGAACTTACCATCTTCACCGCTGGAAGCCTGGCCCACGCCATCGGCGCCCAAAGTGCCCAGCTCGGCGGCCTGAATGATTAGCGAGACTCGATAGAAGTAATTCCGCCAGAAGTTCTCCTCAGTGATGCTGTGCAAGGATATATGGGTGTGAATCTTTAGGATTAGCGTGGATCATGGCCGCGCGCACTTACATCTTGGGCACCAACTCGAAGCGCATCGTTTCGAGCGCTTTGTCCTCGGCCATAATGGCTATGGCAGTGGGATATGCAGTGTCATAGCTAAAGTCAAAGTCAACGCCGGCTGGCGGTGCGCGCACAAAGTTGCGACGATCCTGTGACAAGCCCAAGATTTCCTCCTTGATCTTTGCCTCGTTGGCATGGCCGATCCAGGGGGCAGCACCGTTGCCCGCACCGCCCTGGCCCTTAATGAATGCCTCCTGCTCCTTGTTGAACGACTCGAGTATGGTCTAAATGAGCGAAATGGGGAGAATCACAAAAAATATCATATAGAATATGCGGCTTTAGAATTTCACGCATTTTTACTCACATTATCCTTGACCGTCTCCTTGATCTTGCTGCCAGCCTTGCTGATGGCCGATGACAAGAAGGAGCCAAAGTGCTTGGCCTGCTGTGTTACTTTCGTGGTAACTGTGGAAGCGATAATCGGTTCGATTAGTTCATTGAATATGATGCGAATGAAGTAAAGTTGAAGTAAAAGTGATGCCAACTAATTAATGCAGTCAACCAAAATCGCTAGGCTACAAACTAAACAGTATTGGGAGATCGGAATATTATCAGCTAGGGGTGTATAAATAGGTGGGTGCTAGAAGTATGTGGAGCATATCAACTACGGGTTGTATTGTTAGCTAGTTAGTAACCTGTCACCGCTTTCTATAAATTTAGTTCGCATTTCGATTTGGCAAATTGCAATTGAAGTTCACTTTTTGCTTGTTTTCAAGTTGACTTTAATTTGACTTTTTATCAGTATTGATGTTTTTGTTACCAATCAAACTGTGACACGTACTTTTCAATTCATCGCCCTTACCCTGTCCAATTTGACCCTCGTCGCCAGTGGGCGTGCCGCCGCCCGATGCTGGATGCGAATCAGCACCCTCTGTAGCGCTGTAATTAGAAATTGCGTCAGCGTGCAACACAAAGAGATAGAAAGAGAAAACAGAAAGGGAGAGAGAGAGATAGAAAATAAGCTTGCGTCAGATTTATGTTTGTGAAATTTGGGTACATTTATATAGAAGTATTGTATCTATATACAGTTTATCTGGTGTGGTTATTGCAGTTGAACTCGTGCAGCATGCGACATGCCAAATAAGAAAATCAAATTAGACATTGTCCAATTGGATTCCGTTAAGCAAATAATATAAAAAACATAAAAGGCGTGCAAATTAAGTTGGGAGCTTGTAACTAGAGAGAGTAACTAAACCTTATCATAGACTAAATTAATCAATTCTAAATCATATTTTCATTTTAATTAATAATATTTCAATGAATTAATGCTAATTAGTCAAGTTCATTTGAGGATGCAACCAAGGGGACAATTACGTTAAATTTACGCTGACGATTCATTATTATACCCTGCAGCTATTGTGAACGGGGTATAGAGCTTTACTGCTCAGAGTGTCCTGTTATAAACAGAGCCCTTTCATTATTCAGAAGCATTTCATTCAGGGAATGTCTTAATTGGGCATTACCAAGGAGAGCACAGCCTTATCTGATTTTTATACCCTGAACCCATTGAAAATGGGAAATCAGGGTATAATGGTTTTGTGAAAAAGTATGTAACGGGCAGAAGGAGGCGTGGCAGACCCCACAAAGTATATATATTCTTGATCAGCGCGACAAGCTGAGTCGATATAGCCCTGTCCGTCTGTCCGTCCGTCCGTCCGTCCGTCCGTCCGTCCGTCCGTATGAGTGCGTCGATCTCAGAAGTTACAAAAGCTAGAGAGCTGAAATTTTGCATGCATACTCGTGTGTACCATACGCAGTACGAGTTTGCTTTATTTTTTCGATAAATCGTCCGATAACTTTTTTATCGAGAATAATCGAAAAATTGATTTTGTTTTTTTAACCTAATTTAAACACTTCTAGACCTGGAGTCTTCAAATTTGCGTTGTATATAAAGTTAATCGATACAAAGATTTTGTAATTTACAGATTTTGGATACCACGCCCCCTTTTCTCCCAATTTGTAAAAAACGCATTTCAAGTACTAGAGACTTGTGCTTTGGAATGTACACACATATTCACCATATGATTACACTCTAAAAGTTTCATTAAGATCGTATGTCTACAAAAGAAATTATTCAACAAATAAATTCTCATAATATTGCCCACACTGCAGCGCAGCCCAAGCGCAGTCGCTGCTTACTGCGCAGTTAGCAGAGCGCAGGCTTATGCATGCGTGTGGATGCATGTGTATGTATGTGTGCATAAAATAAGTCCAGAATGATTAGAATATCAGCTTGGAGGGTTCAGGGTATCTCCTAGTCGAGCAGTCTCGACTGGAGCCTTCTTACTTGTTTTGTATACTCTGACAAAGACATTTCTCAGGCTTTGTGTGTGAATGGCGACTAATTGATAATGCGTTGCCCGAAATTCATTCAATTTGTAAATTGCGTTGATGGGGCAATGAGGATGGGCAGAGAGGAGATAAATTACGGCTACCTCTTAATTATGTAAATTGAAAGCAATCAGCGTAATTGTCTAATTGCATTCAAAGCTATATTTAACACTAACTCTATTTCGTATATTAATTTAGTCTATGATTTTGTGAGCCTGCGACAATTACTATTTGTTTCCATAATCACATCACGTTTATGTATATTTACACGTTTGATTTTAGTTTCTTTTAAGGACAATTAATATTTAAATTTTTTATGAAGATTGCGAGGCGAATGCAATGTGAGAAGATAGTTTAAATGAATGTCGAATGATTGATGCAAACCGAAAGAAGGAATGAAAACCAAATCAATTGATACAACAAATGCATGAAACTTAACTCAGGAGACCAGAAAGAGAGAGATAGAGAGAGAGAGACAGAGGACACTAAGACATGCACTAAAATAGAGCTCGGTTTAGTTTCTTGAGTTTCCCGTTGTTCGTTTTGTGACTTTAAGGTCAATTAGAAAGAACTCTAGCATAATTAGAGAGTGTATTTGGAAGAAGCTGCAGAGCCGCAGAGCTGAAGGAAATGATATAGTCGCTACACACATTTAAGATCAGATGAGAAAAATATAGTGAAAACATAGTGAAAATGATTACTGAGACAGGATGAGCTACACATCGACATTGAGAAATTAGGATGGAATAAAAAACATTGGAAACTAATATCAAATCAAATGATAACAACTATTAACAACAATTAGTTTTTAGTTAGTTTTATCTACTGCGTAGCCACAAGGATATGTCCAGATTAATTGGTGTGAGTTTTGCTTAAATCCTTGAGGTGGTTTGATGGGCCGCTCAATAATGATGGAATCTGATACTTGAACATTTCTTTCTGTACTAATCGCTATATATAATAAAACATATTGATTGAATTTTTAAAATAACGCGTTACGAAATGAAAATGTGAAATGAATCAAAGTGTGAAATCAACTAATGATGGTCTTTGGTTAATGTTGTATGGGGCGTGTCTTCTTACAGCATGAATCCAAAATTATATGATTATTTAACTTGATTATGAGTTTTATGGAATTCGTTATTTATGTTGCCGTATTTTAAATTATATTATTGTACTGCCTTTATCCATAATTGTGTCCCCTTACAAAATGACGAATTTGCAGAGTATTATAAAAAACTTACCTTAATCGATTGATTGATAAAAGTGTGAAAAACTAATTCACATTTTGTAAAGGGACAAAATTCAGTTTGATAATCGACTTTTAGGCACTTTGTTGGTTATATTTAAATTCCATATTGGATATTTGGTATACATACAAAAACGTTTAAAAGAGTTATATAGTATGTAATTGTCTGTACAGTATAAAGAGTATGGTTTAAGGCAAAGTTTTAAGAGTCAAACTAAATTTAGCAGAAGAGTTTTGAATAAAAGAAATTGAGCAAAAGTTGGAACAAAAAACGATAGAATCTGTTTTAAAGTGAATAAAAGTATTTTGTTTTCTTTTCTTATTAACTTTTTAGCTAAATTATTGTAGAAGAAAAATTGGTGAATAGTGAAAGGCAAAACTAAACGACAGTAGTCATAGGGCATATTTAGGGTAACTGGTGTTTAAAATGTATATATATATATATATAAATATGTTATTATTAGTTGTATCTTATTGTGTTGCCACTTTAGTGGGCGTATCAGCGCAAAGGCTTGGGCGGGAGCTGTATAATTAATTTTGGTTTCGTTTCAAAATTCAAAGTTTCGTCTTCATTCATTCCGCAGGATGAAACAAAACAGAAAAAAGAATATCCCGACGAACAATAGCCGTCACGTGAGTAAAATTCCAACAAAAGGTGCGCCAATCGTTTCAAAAAGGTGCACAAGAACTTAAGCAACAAATAAAAATAAATAAAAAACTTACGAAAAAAGAAAACGAAAAAACTTGTATATATAGGATAAAAGAAAACTAAGTAACAAACGCGCTTTTATATATGACTTTTGCTTTACTGCCGCTGTTTGTATCGCATATAATTCCGTCATTCTTAAGCATGGGCCCATACCTAATATACCTCGACTTGTCGTCATCATCGCCTCCACTCACAGTACCCGCAGCCGCGGCATCTGCAGCGCCCTCGCCGCCCTCTGCTCCGTCGGCGGCGCCGCTCTTGCGTAGTCCAGGAATCGATGGTATCGATGGCATCGCTGGCATCGATGGCATCGACGGCATGGCCATGGCCGGCATCGACGGTATCGAAGCATTGCCCAACCAGCCCTTGGCACTGCCCAGCCAGCCGCTAGAAATAAGAAAACAGAACAGAAATGGCATGAGCATAAGTTAGTCAACAGGATTCTTGCACCATAATCAATCTTGGCTGTAAATTGACGACGCTCAATGCTCGGCTGCTCATAAGCAGACTCGATAATATCTATATATTCTATCTATAGCATCTCAATCAATGAGCAGGCGCTCATCAGCTTGGCAAAGCCTACTGCACAAAACCCACTTCACACAAGCACGCACTCAACTACAGGGTGTTGCAGGGCACAGGAAGCAATGAATCGGAGCTGAATAAACACTGTATTAGTTAAGGCTATATAATATTATAATAATATCATATATACAACATTAATATAATATAATTAGTAATAGCACTCAGATTGTCCATCCTCAGCTCACACACAGACACCCTGTACGATATTTTCTCTTCCTTTCTAGTCTTATTATTATTATTTTTTTGCTGCGCCAAAAGGTTTGCGATTTATTGTAGATTCTTTGTTTTATGGCTCATATAGTCGCTGTCATAAATAAAATGAAAGCTCATGTAATCATTTAATACACTCAACATGAAAAACGAGAGAGTAAAATGACAGATGAAAAGAAGAAAACCAAAACTTGTAAAAAGCATTGCCTTTGCATTAAACTTCACATGGCTTACGATTGACTCGTTTTTTTTTTTTGGTCGCACATTCATAATCATCCGAAAAACAAATATTCATAAAAAATTAACTAAAACCGAACAACAAAAGGAAAAACAACAAATGGACGCTACTGAAGACTATTGTGCTATTTGCCTCTGCCGCAAGCATCGCATTGTGAGCACTCCATGCAAGCATACATTCTGCAAGCGCTGTCTCAAGAAAGTCTACGATGTCTGTCCCACCAAGGTCTGTCCACTGTGTCGAGCTCCATTCGAGTATTACATTGTGAGTATATGTGAACAATGACAATGGTCTCTGGAAAACTTGCTAATTGGCCATTTTCGGCAACTTGTTCTATCTCCCTTCTCCCTCTACGTCTTTCTCAGCGTGAACGTGGCTCTGGCATTAAAATCGTATTCCTGGCATAGATCCCTACATATCCAAGTAATCGATGTTGGTCTATTTTGTTTAGTTACTTAAATTTTTCTGTTCTTATATTTAAAATGACCAATCTATATATATTTTTTCGAATTTTGGTTTCACCTTGTTAAAACAATGTTCAAGTTAAGTTCTTGTATGAGCGCGAGGCACTATTCTGAAGCCTTACAAGATCTGAATACAGGAACTTGAAACATAAAAACGAATATTTAATTTTTTAAAATATAAAATTCAAATTAATCTAAGCAGATTGCATTTTACTCTTTGGCTGAACTCACTAAACGAAATCACTTGACTCAGATTCATCAATGCCGCGGAGCGACTCTTCAATTCTATCTATTCAAGCAACAAGCAGCACAAGCACAAACCATGTAGGGCGATGGATGGAACTCGATTCAATTCAATTCAATTCAATTCGATTCGATTTGATTCGATTCTAGGGAACATGCAATGCCAAAGCGAAGGTATTGAATGCTTTGCCAGCGGCAATACAAAGGGAAAGAATTGTCGAATTGCCGTTTTGCCACGCCACAAGCGTATCGCATGCTAAGTATTGATGATGACGAAGCTGATGATGATGATTATGATGATAAGGACACGTTAGACCAGTGAAGGCTAAAGCATATGCAATAAAAATTGACAAGCAATGGAATATTACAGGCTAGCTGGCATTCCTTTTCATTGTACTCTATGGACGCATTGACAGGGCAAGGGGATGCAGAGAGAAGGAGAAGCATTGCAATTACAATGGATATAGATATACACACACATACACATGGGATCAACGGGGAAAGAGCTCAGCGAAGCGACAAGGACTCAATGCATACGAACAAAAAGTGACCATAAATTGACGCAAGTTAATTTCATTTCATTGCAATATTTATTGAGTTACACTTCGTGCAGCACCTATGGATGACATACAATAAATGGAATTATTAAATGCATATATACTACACGAATAAGCCATGTCGTGCTCAATTAGCCAACAGAGTTCAAGTCGGGGCTTATCTCTTGCAGCTGCGCAGCTTTGCAGCTTTGCAGCTCTGTTGCTGATAAGCCCTATAACTATCATTAGCATTCGCCATCTTAGCCAAGTGGCCAAGTGGCTGCCTCCACTGCCTCTTTTTGATGTGATTTATGCGTTTTGGGGGGCGCGATGCTTTTACGCAATTTTGTTCGCCTGACAGGCGGCAACCGTGTTTATTTATGGCCCGCCTAGGACTATACAGCATTCGCATAATACTGCCCAGAGTCTGATAAGTGGCATACTTAAAGTCAGAGAGCTGGGCAGCGCCATCCAGGCATGTCGTGAATTTAAGTATATTAAATCAGACCTTTAGACTCTGCCCCTAAGAATATAGAATAATAAATTTCTCTTGACTTCAGACTCAGCATTGATACTGCAAAAATAAACCCCTATATATAATTTTGATTAGCCATTTTAAATAATAATATACTTTTGAAATTTAAGCAACACTGTTTAAAGATTTTTAATATTAATTATTTTTAAACTTACTAAAATTTTTTAATTGAAAAAACAATTTTAAAAAATATAATTTATATTGAATACTTGTATGTTTTTCAATTAATTTAAGCAAAAATAATATAATAAATATACACCTATAATATGAATTTACATCTATATAAAAACTTTTAAATAATTATTGTCCAAAAATTGTAATTTTTAAATAAAATTTAATTAAATATGTTCATATTATTGTTGATAATGAGTTCTACGTATATATTTGAAGACAAAGAAATTCCAATCTTCATTTCATTCCTACTCAACATTTTGTGGTCTGAGGACCTTAGAGAATTATTTTTGATGGAGCTTTCATCATGTGCAATATTTGTCAGTCCATGTTGAGAGAATATTTCACGCTATATGCGTTGAGCCATTCATATTGATGTGGTTTTTCGTTCGTTTTTTTTTTTTCTCTTTTTTTCAGTCGAATTGCAGAGAAAAGTTTTAATTATAAAAGTTTGGCGCAGTTGCCGTTCTGCAGAAAAATAAGTCCTGCCGCAGGACTCTGCACATTGAATTACACGCACACATGCAGACAGGCAGGCTAGGAATTTAGACAGCAATAATTTCATATAAAGCTAAAGAATCCTTTCAGGCCAAGAAGTTAAAGCAAATTTAAATATATTCTCATTTTTGCATTTAATTAAGTTAGTATAAGCAAATCTGCAAATCAAATAAGTCAGCTTCACCTAGTCAAGAACTGAATGTTTATTTAGCATGTAGTTTGCTGAAGAAAGATTTTTAAATATATTTTAATTTTTAAGTTTATTTACCATTTTATTTATTATTCCTATTAACTCAGTAAAAACTACAGTTTTAATTCCTACTTTGCTGAAAATAGGTTGACTAATTCTATTGACCTGAATCTGAATAACTAATGCATATACATAGTAAACAAAGAAATAACTAATTATTCCTATTCATTTGTGTTTGCTGTCTGCAGCTCGATGCAGCTCTGAATCCAAGTCCCTGCGAATGCATTTAACAAGCAGAAGGAGGCATATTCCAGCCCATTTACATTTTATATATATAGCCCTGAACAAGAGGAGGGGTTGCATCTATCATCTATTGCAGCCTATCTATCTATATGCATGTCTGTAATACAGAATCTGTATGTATTGAAAGTAACAATGCATTAAACTGCAGCAACAGTATAGAGTAGCAACAATTAGAGTACTCTTACTAGTCTGAATTTCTTTTTATTCTATGCCAAGCGTTTTCTCTGTTCTGAGTTTACTAAGGTATATAAGTTGCTTATATTATTACATACAGGCTATAAAAATTCTACCAAAAAATACAGGGAATTTTAAACATCATTTATATTTTTTTATGTACATTATAATATATTCTGCAGAATTATAAATATTTTAGTTGCACAGCAATAGCTAACCTCTGTTAAATATAAATTTGCTTTATTTGATGGTTTATAAATATTCAACGCTAATAAAGCACAAAAATAACTAATTGAAAAAATAAATATATTATTCATTTAAAATGTTTATTCTTATTTTTCTGGTAACTCATAAAAACCAAATGTTTATCAAATGGCTTACTGACAAGTATTCCATTTGCATTCAAACGTTATTATTATTATAGTTTGTCGATGAACTTTCACCCAACAAGTTTCTCTCCCCAAATTGAGTTTTCATTGTTGCGTGAACTTTGCAGTTAAGCCAACTAACGTAATTCCCTTGTTGCTGGCTTTATGCTCCAGAGCATCGTTCTCTTTATGCCAAGAAGAATAAAGACTTTTGACCTTAAATTTCCCGCAATGAGAGAAAATATGCAATTAAATATAAAAATAAATTTGATTTTTTTTACAAGTTCATGACAAAGCAAGGGATAACAGAATAGGCAACAGCACAACAATAACAACAATGGCAAGAACATTCAACCAACACACAAATCGCACTTATGCAAATTGAAGTGAGGACGGCGAGGGGCAAAGCTAAGGACAACAGCTGCAATATGCAACTGCAGTGCGGAGAATTGCAAATGTGGCACACTGTGCGGAGGATATGTCAATGTGACATATCAAATTGCCCGACTCTACACAAGGCAGCAGCGCCCCCCATAGCCGCCCCTCGCGCCAGTTGATGCGCAAATTGCATTCGCCAACGTAGATGGCTTTTTCCCTCTGTTCTTTATTTTTAGTCGATCTGCCTGATTGCTTATCGCCATTTTATGGCTTCGCGGTGACAAAAAACACAAATGGCAATTGCCTCAATAGGTGGATAGACGATAACAGCGCGAGCGGATTTTAACTAGCCGAGCTTGCTCCACTGGCTGGGCTGTAAGTGCGCTTTTTAATTGAGTCTGTGTCGAGTGTCAAGCGTGAGTTTGCACTTTAATTGGATTACTTCGTCGAACCGAGATTGCGCTAGCTCTGATTTCAAAGCTGCCGAGACACGCAATTTTAAAGTAAGCTCGAAAGTTTCTGAGGGCGAAGCATCAGCCCTGCCTGGCAACGCCCCCACGTTGCTACGGTAAGCCTCTGATGGATCCACGTGCGCAAACAAGCCCACCCACGCCTACACACACTCGCACATACGCACACACACACATACGGCCAGCATATTAAGGATAATGGTAAGGGAAATTTATTGCATTCGCACAGAAAAATAACGCTAAATGCGTATAAAAGCTAAATAAAATCATGTTGTACGGCAACCAAGCAGGTGGTATGATGCTGACGCACAATGCTTAGGGCTCAGCAGGCAGCGCTGGCATCGCGAGGGTGGTCAGAGCAGTTAGCAACAGCTACAGTTACACATTGAATGCATATTCAGATTTAATTTGGAATTCTGCTAGCTAAAATTTTATATCATAACTAATTGTTTTTTAATTTTGAATGAATTACGAACAAAAAATTAAAAAAATACAAATTAAAACAAGTAAGAAAGCTCTAGTCGAGACTGCTCGACTACGAGATCCCCTGAACCCTTGGAGCAATAGATATTTCAATACTTTTTCGCGACTTTCAGCTTACACAAGAAACACGCACACACACACACACACACGTACGCAAACACAGGCATACATACACACACACGCATACAGACACACATACACACACACACGCATACATACACAAACGCATACACACACACACATACACACACACATACACAAACACATACACACACAAGCAACCATGCATAAACACGCATGGGCTGCAGTGTGCGCTTACTATGAGAACTTAATTGTTTAATAACTTTTTTTTACTTTTATGGTTATAACACGAATATGCATGTAATTGCCAAAGCACAAGTCTCTAGTATTTGAAATACGCTTTTTACAAAAGTGAGGGTGAGGGGGTGAATTTAGAGGTGGGGGGTAAATTTTAACAAAAACCGAAATTGTATAAATTGCATATAAGCATACATTAAAAATTTGGAGACTCTAGCCATAAAGGTGTAGAAGATATAATTTTATAACTGGGTTTCGATAAGGGTTTTTATCGATAAAAAAATATCGAGATGAGTTATCGATTTTTAATGATAAACTTGATATGCGCGCTGTAATTACGGACATTTAAAAAAAAATTTGAAGTCTCTAGCTCTTATATCTTCTGAAATCGACGCGTTCATACATACGGACAGACGGACAGACGGACAGACAGACGGACAGGGCCAAATCAACTCAGCTCGTCACCCTGATCAAGAATATATATACTTTGTGGGGTCTGCCACGCCTCCTTCTCCCTGTTACATACATTTCAACAAAACCATTATACCCTGATTTCCCATTGAAAATGGGTTCAGGGTATAAAAATATTCATTATTTTGTTCAAAAATACTAGACTGAGACGCATAAACGAATAAACCCAAGCTAATTTTAACCAAATGTATGACATTTCTATTTATATTTCATATTTCATCGTGAATACTTTAAAATTCAATAAATAAGTTGTAAAATTATATATTACGTAATATATTGTTAGGTATGTCTATTGTTTCCAACACAGCAAGATAAACTTAATACATAATTTAATAAATAAAATCCCAGCATGACAGAAACAAATTATAAAAAATGTTGTATTTTGTTTTGTTTTGTTTTTTTTTTTTTGACACAATAAGGAATTTATGTATTCATAAAATAAAACATGTAAAACATAGCCCGATGAAAGCTTTGCCTTGGCGCGTATTGAAGCAGAACCGCTCAAATGAGTTAGCACAAACTGATGTTAACTGCATAACTGTCAAACCCTTTTCACAATTTCGCCCTTGCAGAGGGTAGCTGGTTGAGGGTAAACATATCGGGTAGTTTGGTATGCCCAGATATAATGTCAATTTCAAGTTTAATTCAGATTTATGAATTGATTTGGAAATGGCAAGCTTTCGAGCCACCCTCGCAGTGAAATGTTCGCAAGCCAGAGAGACGCAACAGCCAGTCAAGGAAATGAAAAAGAATGGCCAAATCCACATTTGACAAATTACCAGCACGCAGGTAAACAGCAGGTAAGGAGACAGGTGCGGCAGGTGAATAGGACTGCGTAATGGATGCCAGCCCCAGCCAGGAGGTAAACACCGTGAAAAATGGAGCCTATGAATGACATATACTCGCCTATCGCGTCCATCTATTTTGATGAACATGTCTGTCAATTAATAATAGATGATGGGCACATTTAACGCCTTTACAATAGACACGCCCACAGTCGATAGGTAATTATTATTTGACATTTGACTTCTGTTGTTGTTTTCGTTTGTGCATTTTCATGAACTGTGCTGTTAATGCCAGCCGCTTTTCATATTTCCCCTCTCACATTTACCACGCAGTCTTGAATTTTCGTTTTATGTCTGCGCTGTGCGCGCTGAATTTTTCCAATTATATTATTTTTATGTGCAGGCGCCGTAAAGTGTGCCATAAAATATGCAATACAGCATCGAGAAAATATGAAATAAATACGAATACTGAGACTTCTCAAAGAAACTCGCAGAAATTGCCTCTGATTGGCTGAAAAGGTCAATCGAGTGACTAGCTGCCTATAGATGCTCGAGTTCACTTGTGACCTTTCCGCGGGGCATCATCTGCGACTATGATTGGCAAAATAGTGTAAACTCTACTTAAACGTCATCTGATGCGGCGAAGCTGAGATGGTTGCCAAGGTCGACCTTGACTGAACTGACAAGGCTGCCCTAAGATGATTTCTTACTCTGATGAGATACAATTCGAAAAATCGGTTTATCATAATTCATATACATAAATCTATAGTCAATGCTATGATACAAAGAGGGAAGATTTGAGTCATATTGAATATATAACATCTATAATATAAAAGTCCGCAAAAATACAGAAAATATCTGTATACTATTATATAAAGACAAAGGATTATAGGCCTCTATTTTCATTGACGATAATAGACTAATACATATCGTATTGCAAGTCAAAGGGTAGACGTGTCGCAGTTGAGTAAGTAATGTGTACCTCTTGATGAGCAAAATTTTTGAAATCCACAAGCTTTCTCTAGAGAATCGGGCACAGAGCATGCCCAGTACATTTGAGGTGAAAGAGAAAGATAACAGACAAGAGCTCGTAGTCGAGTTTTAGCTCGGGTCTTAGTTACGAGCCAAGTATATTTTGCGGCACAATCTTTCGCACAAATTGGAGTTGTCATTCTGCTTTTCTGAGCTGATATATCTAATGGCATATGCAGTGCTCGATCTGAGAGTCTCGCTAATATTCAGGAGCCCTTATAGACAATAATCATCAACTAACTTGTTGATGAAGAAAATTGTATAACGATCATCAAAATAGAGTGACAAATAGTGTACAATAGGTAGTGTATTACCAGCTAAAATCCTCGCCCTACCAGGTCGAGCAGTCTCTAGACTATAAATAAATTCTTTTGGCCAGAGAGAAGAGAGGTTGATAATCAGAGGTTGATAGAACCTTAGACCTTATTATAAACATGACAGACCGACTCCTGGTGATTGAGGTAAGTTTATTCGGCCTGATTTCTCTCATCTAATATTTTCCAGCACAGCAGCTTAATGGCCCCTTGCTAACCCTGGCATGTTAGTGCCCATTAACTAGGCGCAGCTTCATTATGCTCTCTTACTTCCATAGTTTAGAGTAGTTTGGTTGGAGGTTTAGAGTCGTGTCATGTGCAGGCCATTTGTTTTTAACCCTAGGCGCTCATCTAATCATTGGGCAACTGCTAAGCTTTTGATGGCTCAAAATACTCAGCAGAACATAACATTTAATGGCGCTGGCAGCACCTGGCAATGGGCATATAATTGAAGTGAGCACTGCATCGCATCGCAGCCCAGTTCCGAGTCCCAAGTCCCATTCAGGTCTTTAGTTGTCGCCGACGCCTTTACAATCTACTTAATGTGATTGCTTAACGCGCGCCGCGTCGGCTCAGCTGTGGCCGAGAGCAGCATTAAAATATCCTGTGACTGAATCCGACTCTGCTGGAAACGTAACGAACGTAGACTATAATTATTAAAAGAGCCAGCAAATGTTGCCATGACAGAGAGAACTGAAACTAAAAAAAAGAAACCAAAACAAAACTTTGCACAAAGGTCTAAAAATATCAGCAGCTAACTGCAAACGTTGCGTGCCGCTGACAGGCAAGAGAAAGGCTCTAAGAGGTCCTTTGGCTGCCCTAATGTGGCCCAGTGTTATAATGCTCTAAAACTTTTGACATTTACCGGGGCACGCATGTTCTAATACCCAGCACACCTGTATATATGTGTGTTTGTGCGTCTGGCTTCATGTATTTCATTTGCTTTTTCTCTGGACTTTTTTTTATATAACATAATAATGCGCCTTGGACGCGAACAGTCAGACACTCGTGTGCCCTTATATGGGCAGATTATATACAGTAACGAATAAATCGCATTAACGCCAGTTGATAGCTTATGTGATTTGTGCGTGTATCTGGGCAATACGTCAAGAGCATCGCAAGTAAGTTCCATTGTCTGCTCATTCGAATGCACATAAATAACTAACGATAAATATGTGTTCGATTTCTAAACACCAACTGAATACTCTTACAATATGATTTAATTTCATATGAGATTTTTAAAATCAGATAATTAAGTTAGAAATAATAAGCTATAATTGTATTCCAATAATATAATAGTATTTGTTAAATCTAATTTTATTATTAAGTAATTTAGTAAAATTTTAATGTCTTCTTAGAATTCTGTCTTATTATGTCTTCATCTATTATTATGTAAATATATTTAAATATCTCGAAACTAATAAAATAAATACAAAAATTCTTCATTCTTGTTCATTTTGCTTCGCATATTAATATTACTAATAAATCCAAAATCTACGCTAAGAAAGGGTATACGAGGCAAGGACAAATCTTTGAATGATAAACAATCAGGACACACTCTTTGCTCCTTGCCATGGCAGCGCACTCAATCAAACGCAGGATTGGGGACGTGGCAAACGTGGACGTGTCCGGGGCAGCAAACAAATATACAAAAAGGTGCAAATGGCCAGGATTTTATGCGCATTAATTAAAGGTAACTTAGCACAAAGGCAGAGCCCAAAGGCTGCCCAGCCTGAGCACGAGCACAAATGAATTATTTAACATGATATTTAAGCTGATTGAGATGAATTATCTCGAAATGAATAGCTGATGGCAGTAAAAGGGGCAGTGGATTGTTGGTCGACTGTGGGATTGTGGCACCATGGGACTATGGCAATTTAAGGCTCAACATGTGGGCGGGCCCAAACTGGGCAGGAATTGCTTTTTGGCCTGGAATTGCGACGGCCTACAATTAGTAGAGCAGCTGGATGACAGCAGAGAGTGCAACCAGGCCAAATTACACATAGCCCGAAGGGCACAGCGACATCCAAAGTGACATTACAAAATCTTGTTGCATACGCCGCGGCGCTATAGCCGCCAGCCAAGCGATTAAGTTGCGCAACTTTTCATATATGAACAGAACTTTGCGTGTGCTTATGTATGTGTGTGTGTGTGGGGAGTGGGGGCATGAAGCATGGCTGTGACACTCGCGAACACTTTGGCGCAATTAAAGTTCCGAAATGCCGTCGGGACGCGCGTCCCCCAGCAGCAGTAGCTTTTATTTGACTTTCTCTACAATTATGGCGCCGAGAGTTTTTCTTTTTTATTTTGTCATTGCCTTTGCCATTTGGCGGCTTAAGAGCCAGCCAATGGGCGTGGCCGGGTGCTGGTTTTATGGTAGAAAGTTATGCCAGCATTCAGTCAATAGTTTCGCTTTTATGTTTGGTACGACATACTGATGTCTTTACGATTCCACTTAAAAACTGGCGTGCGGAGTGAAAGTATTTTATTAATTTTTTTTTTTTAAGAACATGTTGATTATAGAACTATAACAAAATATAATATAGAACAAAATTATATAATTATAAATTAAATAAATATTAAAAACTTACGTGGCTTCGCTGACTAATGAATCTACCAGGGAGGATGATTTGGGTAGGCTAAAATAAAATATGTGCACAAAATTAAATAATAATAAAAAACTAATAAAAATGATAAGAACTTGTAGAACTTGTAAAATAAATAATTAGCTAATTATTTAAAATGTGATTAGATTAAAATAATATTTAAACACAAGTAAATATTTAAATTGAATATGGACAATAATAATAAACAATATTAAGTTCATGTTAAGCAAAATCTTCATTGTTGTTACTTAATCTTAAGCCATCTATTTTATGTGTGATTATCTATTTGAATTAAAATTCTTTACTTGCGTATAATATTAGCGAAATGGCTTTAACTATATATTTAAGAAACAATTTAAGTCCTGGCTAATTGTTTTTCTATTTTCAATATTTTTCACCTTGACCTCAAGTTTAATATATCATAGTTTCAGTTTTGGCATCATAGTTACCTGAAAAGAGGAAAACATTTTGATTTAATGAAGATTTATATCTTTGCGATGGAAATGTTAAGAAATTAATTAGACATTTTACGTTGAGAAGCCGGCAATTAAGGCCCATGAAAGGATTATCTAATGACCGGACCGAGCCGAGCCGAATCGAGCTAAGCCGAATCGACCCGACCCGACCCAACCGAACCGGACCGGACCACTTTCCACATGCAACCAACTGAATGAATGCCTTTTAATTAAGTCTCGAGATATGATTAAACGAAAGTGATATTATGTTAAACGGAGCCTCGACATGAAAGCCAGTGAACGGCCCTTCATTGTTTTCGCACACTACAGAAGTTCAAAGTTCAAACACGCAAGTGAAAAGCGAAAGGTGAAAGGGTACAAGATCCAATAAGACATAAATCTATACAGGCAAGCTGCCGTAAATCAAAATTAATACGAGTCAAGAGAACAAAAGGGAAAGATTGTTTTTTGCTCTCGAAAATGTGAAACCCTCAACTGGTAATGTACGGGCATTGCAACAATTTGCCATCAAGGACTAACACATTGTATCTGCTGGGTTGTCCTGTTTTTATAATCAATTGACAGGAATAATGGAATGACAGCGAAAAAACAAACACAGAGGGAGAGCGAGAGACAGAGATAGGGAGAGACAGACTCACACAGTACTGAGGTGAACATATAAAAGTTGCAGCGGTGCTGGAAATTGAAATGTAAATCGTGCTGACCTTGGCCCAGTGCATGCGGCGTGTTGTTGCCTGATGCCCGAGTCCTTAGTTCTGTAATAAAGCAAGGAAACCAAACACGAACACGAACACGAACGGCTGGCTGCCATCAAAGGGCAGCAAGGCACACACGGAGAGTACAAGTTGAGCAAAAAAAAAAAATGAAAAGAGAAAATTGCAAGGATATCTACAATGTATGCAAAATATTGCCGCAAGCCACAGGCCACAAGGAATTTTTATTTAATTAAACGCAGAGTTCAACCAAACCCAATCTCACACATCGCCTGGGAGCCACGTGGCATTCTAACTTGTTGAAGCCACAGGAAGTTTCATGGCGTTGCTTTAGAATGCTAATTAAGTATACGCAGCGTATGCGAGCGACGAAGGTTACAACTGAGCGATAGATAATTCAATTAGAATGATGACTTGTCGGGCAACATAAATACGTTCTTCGTGGGCGGAACAGGCTCACAATTCCAATCAGCTAAATAAATAGTCGTAATGAATTTCCAGTTTTAATTGGAGCGCAACCAGCAATATCAATTAATAAGTTGGATAAACAGCCCAAGTCTCTATATAAATATTGTTTTTTATAGGCATTTCAAAATATTTGTAGTGGAAGGAAATGTAGTACATATTTCTAATGGAATATATAAAATGAAATCGTGCTTCAGTTTCAAGCAGCTCTTTAATGGAGCTCAAGCTGTAAGAAGAGAGCTTAATGAGAGTCTGCTGCGAGCACTTCAAGGCTTTGGTTGTTATGCAATGTTGACAGGATGACCAGGATAACAGCATAGTTGAAATAGCGTAACCAGGAGACGTCGAGGCAGCGCCGACTTCAAAGTCTCTGACAGGCAGACCCCTTGACCTTTGAGGGGGCCCTGTATTATTTTCATTGGTATGCCAGCACTTGTTCGAAGGGGTCGCTGCTAAACGAGTACTCAGCTTTGTCGGGGTGTTGGCGCATATTTCATTACTCAATTACAAAGCAAACAGTTGGCGGATGCTGCTGGAGCAGTTGCCGCTTGCAATTTTCAATTAACGAGTGAGCGGCAGACATTACAGTCCACAAAGAACTAAAGCCCCAAGCTAAGGTCATATTGCGAGGCGATATGAGCCATGAACACCCAAGCGCCATACACCCATGGCAGCGCATACAGCAGAGGTCGATAATCAACGGAGGTGAGCGGCAGCAGAATAACATCTTAATGAAGGATGCAGGCCCTGAAATAATGCAAACCGATTAAAACCGCACATTGACGTGACTCTAAGCCTCAAGTATTTAATTAAGAAATCATTTTCCATTGACACGTCAAAGGGCTCAAGGCTGTTCTCGACAATCACTCGTGTCTGCAATCACATATTTTAATTGGGTACAAAATGAGAGCCGAAATAAATCAAATTCTATTCGAAATCAAGCCAAAGCAATGACTGCTAAATTAAGTGCAAATGCAATGCAATCTATGTAAATAAATGAAATTGAACTATGAAGGCAGTTGATTAAGCAATCGATTTATAAAGAGATAGGAGAAGTAGCCTTAAAAATATATTGTGAATAAGGATAAAAAAGGTTGTTTATATATATATATATTATATATATAAATTTACTTTTATATATATATGAATGTACTTTTTTAATAATATAATATAAATAATATAAGATTTGTATGTATTATTATTAATTTATTTTTATAGCAACGAGTTTTTTTATTTTCTTTCTGTACGAAAGCTCAAAGAAAATTAATTATATTTATAATTATAAAATTAATAATATTTACTAAAAATAATTTATAAATATTTATATAATATATATATGTAGTTATGTAGTTATTTAATCTAACTATTAGTTATAAAGTTGATTTAAAATTTAAAAAATTGATAATAATAATTTATTAAGTTAAATATTATTTAATGATATTGAAAAATGTAATTTGAATTTAATAATTAAATGAATTTATTATTAACATTAATTTGTAAAAATTATTTTGAATTTAGTCTTATGAGAGAGAAGTTAGAAATATTTGTGTTTGTATAGATTTATGAACTTGACGATATTGCGTGAAGAAGTAAAGCGGATTAAGAGCACGTATAGTTATTAACGTATGACTTGAGCATTTTGTTTCATCTTTAATGCCTATTTAAACTTGGAAAGTTCTCTGGAAAGGCAGAGCTGTTACGCAGTTGGATATTTATATAAAAGTTTGAGAGCAATGTCAACATCTTGTCACTTTCTTTACGAGTCAAGATGTTGGCCACCGCTCCCCGGGTGTTCATAAAATAAGGATGCTGCCAAGCAGGAAGCGGCGGCCGCTTTGTTTGGCAAAGCAAACGGCACCCGCGTCCCCCATAAGCCGGCAGGATGTTGCTTGGGGCGGAAATTGTATTGGCCATAAAATGTTTGGTGGCTTTTGAGGCACAGACACAGACACAGACAGAATCAAGGAGTTGCTTCGAGCTGGAAGCTACGACAGCTATTTTTAGATTAAGCCAAAGGTCGTGCTGGCTGTGGCACATGGAATAGCCCCGCCAGCATATTTTTGGGCTGTGCATGAAAATTTAATAAGTTTGCCCAAAGTATATATCGACAAAGGTTTGCATTTACTTGATGGCTTGTCAAGTGCACTACAGCAGGCAGCCCCTAGTACTAGATCGTTCACTAATAATTTAAGAGCTTGTCAGTTAAATAGTTTGTGCTGTTTATGCAGCTTTGCACACGTAACTAGCCTCAGGTGAGTCAGCCGAACCGAAGCGCTGATGTACTTAAGAGTCGGAGCTCAAGTTTGGACACAGACTGAAACTCAATCATGTCAGTAAAATCGATTCAATTATTTAAGATGGCCTGAGTTATTAAATATTTAATTATACATTCAATATTAAATTAAATAGCTTTTTCTTGATGCGAAAATGTAAAATGTAAAAATAAAAGAAAATACATTAAATGTCATTTGCTCAGCCTTATTTTTCTAGCACCAATTTGAATTGAGTCTAAAGAGCCAGTGAGCAGCAACACTTTATGAAATGAGATGGTCATTAAAAGTTGGAAGCGGGCCACAGCCAAAAGGGTCGCTAAATATTGATAACATAACAATTAGATTAAACGAGGACTAAAGTGGAGCTAAGGAGTTGCTCTGTCAAGCCACAAAAGCGAAATTGAGATGCAGTGAGGAAAACCTTAAATTGCAAATTGAGTGGGCGAGAAACAAGGGAAAATGTTGCGACATAGCCACAAGGTGTTGGCTCTCGCTCTGGCTCCCTGGTCTGCTTCTGTTGTTGACAGAATTAATTGCGCACGTTAGCGACGGGCGCACAGCAGAAAATTAAATTGCAAAACGACGTGCCAGCAATAGCAGGAGCAGTAGCAGCAGCAGCAGGAGCAGGAACAGCAGCAGCAGCAGCAAGAACAGCAGCAGCGGCAGGAACCCGTGGCACCAACAAGAGCAAGCACGTCAGCCACTGTGGTCCTTGTTGCCGCAGGCATCTAGGAACGGAATTGAGTTAGGCGCTGTTTTTCATTCCAACTATAAACACATTTGCAAGGCCAATAGACGCTGCGCAATTGTGGCCGCGCAATTGCGTTATGTCGCCATACAAAGGCTGTGCACGAGGCATGCCAGCAATGTTGCGTATACGCCGCCTATGACCAACGCAATATTTTAGAAATTTAACTTGGAAGACTTTAAGAAATTTCTTTCTTACGTGATATAGTTAAGCCACAAAGCCAATGCCAAGTCAGGCCATGATTAATAACTGGCAATATTTGCCCTCAGAGTTGAAAGCTTTAAGATATTGACTTCATAGAATACATATTGCTACTTTAATTCTTTTGCATCTGTTAAAGCTCTGGTCGTGTCGATAAAGCGCTATTTGTACAGTTGCTGCTTATCCTCTATTAAAGCAGGTTTAGGGGCCCTAAAAAGCTGCCAAAATGAAATGACCAACGTTTACGCTTCAGGCTGTGAATTTTACACTTGGGATGACCTTTTCATTCAAACACAGCAAATAGAAACACACACAGACATACACCCTCCCACACTCACACACACACACACATGAGCAACGGAGACTGACTTTTGAAAGCAGTCAGCAGCTATTAGCGTTATGCAAATAGAACTAAGAGCAGTCCAAGCCCCAATACAGAATCCAGAATCCAAGCGAAACCCCCACCCGAACCCTCCGCCAACGACATCAACCTAGGGTTGCAAGTAATTTAAACATTTTTAGTAAGTGCGCGCTTATCAAACGCGTTTTAGTATTTTATAGAGCGTGCGAGTTTTATGTTCATTTGACTGGCTCGCAAAATGGATGTGGCAACGGAATGGGGAATAACAGAATGCCGGATTATAGCTGCATATCAATGATGACATTATGATACCCTGTATAAAAACAGAGCATAAATATGAATATTTTCAATTAAAAATGCTATAAGGAAGATGAATCTATATGGTACGTAGAACACTTTATACACATCTTTAGGTTCAATACCAAAGTCAGAGGCAATTGATGTGAAATGATAAACAAAGACATGACTCTGAGTACAGGATATCTATCTGTTATCTTTCTTTACTGAATTCATAAACCTCTGCGAATATTAAATGTTCTCTGCTCGGGGTTCATTTCGCCAAGCGGAACTGCATAGTTGAATAAACAAGAAAACAGATATGAGATATCAGAAAATATTTTCTCTTTACACATTTGTGTTGAAATGTTATGAATGATATTACACTAGGATATTCAAATTAGATGAATAGAAAAAAAAAATATTTAAATTAACTGAATACAAAAGTCTATTTGATGCCAATGTTTGATGCAGAAGTGAGAGAAGATGGGACTCTTTAAAATCATGCGAAGAGTTCATAAACCGAATTATCATTTTGTATCTTCTGATTTTATAGTCTTTAAGTGATATTATCTAATAATAACGCATAGATAATTTTATAGTCTTTGAATGACATTTGGAAAATCAAGTCCGAATATGGCTTTCAAGCGATAATAATGGAATTGTATAAGATATTGAAAACAATCTAAACTTTTAATGAGTTGGCTTACACAGAAATATATTATATATTAAAAATATTAAATTTGGATATGGCTACATAGACTTAGCTTGTGAGGATCTACAATTTAAATAGCCCGGGACCGACACCTCTTT